AAGTAAGTATAAGTTCTTTCAGTTTATTGTATGAGTCCGTATGAGTAAAATACTGCCAATAGACTCAAGTGTTGAGTACTCTTTATAGTGCTCTAAACAAATGTTGCACATATAGTGAAATGCATTCGAAATAATAAGAGGCCTTGCTGTTATATCTTTCATTATATCAAGAGACGATGTGTGTTTGCTGAGTCACAGAAGCAGAAATCTCCAACATAACGTAGACAGCCTAAATCGTAACGCCTAGCTAGCAAGCTTGGAAATAACCACGTGTAAAATGGTTGTCGTGTCCTGTGGATACTGCGCTGTAACAGATCCTTTCATAGCTGTTGAGAACATAAATATAAATGTTGTACAATCCATAAGCGGAGCAGCAGAACACGTAGCGGCTCGTATACATATGGCAAAGTCTGCATTTGGCCAACTACAAATCAACCAACTACAAATCAAATCAATCAATTCACGAACACAAGTCTTCAAATGCCTGAGACGCTTCTTCGAAATATAGTGGACAGAACGCATCTCTAACGCAGAATTGTGGAAAAGAGCAAATATACAAAGCGTCGAGAGCGAAATTAAAAAAACGAAAATAGCAATGGATCGGATATACGCTACGCAAGTCGAATTCCTGTAAAACTAAGCAAGCCCCAAAGTGGAACCCGCAAGGCAGTCGCCGGTCTGGCGCTCTTTCAAGAACATGGTGAAGGACAATTGATGCCGATTTAACATCAGCGCGCTACTCATGAACCCACATCTGTACGGCAGCTCCAAATAGAATATGGTTCAGAGGAATTGTGGAGGCCCTATGCTCCACTGGGAGTTAACGGAATAAAGAAGAAGAAGAAGAAGTCAACATTTATACCATTAAAGCATCCGTGGTTTCCATTTCAAAAAAATTTTAAAAGGAATAAGTTGTTATTTTTCCCATATATCTGTATTTGATCCTTGAATACCGACCAACATCTCACAAAGTGCTGTAAGTTTTCTATTTCATTTAAGTTGCACATAGAATATATTCCAAAAATTTGTATTGTCATTCGATATCTCCAATATACCATATTAACCCTAAAGATACGTTTGTGCTCTACTTTATCAAGATAGTTACTTTAAACAGAATACTTGCAGGAGCCGGTATTGACGTTGTTCTAATCATTATAGCGATTATAACGTAATTATATATAAAATTATATATGAAAAAGTATACGTTTATTCTCTAAGCTCAACAGTGGTTTATAGTCCACAATTACATCTTAAGTTGTAACTCAACTTGTGAGACGTAACACGTCCGTGTTATCAGCTCTGAAGGTAAAACCAGCACTTGTTGTCAAATCAGATAAGGTTATAAGGTTGCAGTGGTAGCCTTTTGCAACAAAGCTCTCTCCAGCTGAAATAATGGTCCATTATGATACCTGGAGAGTAGAGCCAATACAGTTGAAAAATATTTTCCGGTAATTAATATGCCGGAATCTTCAACACCTTTGAAGATTTAATATGAAAATTATTTACTATTTTACAACATATAAGATATATATTTATATATATATAGCATATATAAACATATATATATATATATATATATATAGCATATATATATATACTATTTTACAACATATTTATTGTAAATATAGCATCAGAAATCTTTCTACATTTTTTTTTAAAAATGTTTTGAAAGTTATATTATTGTTAATAAAACATATCTTAAATTTCGATTATTATTTATTACTCAATATCTAAAATATACTGTCACAATGAAATCAGTATTTTCACCACAGCATCCGTCTGTCCGGTCTTTTTCACAATAAATCATTCCCTAATCCTTGCCACACTCTGCAAGGATTTCAATGTTTTACAATCAATCCTTCATTTATTACGACATTTAGTAGGACAAAGAGTTTTATTATACCATATGTTAATAGGAGCGGATTTGGACGCAATAGATTAAGTGTGGAAGGTTGGAAAATTGTCATTACAATGTGTCACTTAGACTCATTTCTTTAAAAACTCTTTAAGATAGAGTTAAATAAGGATATAGAATGAAAGTTCTCTATCTACCATCATATTTTACGAATAATACGCAGAAACTTGTTGACAAATACTTGTATCTTTCTCTCTATGTGTCTGAATTGCTTCGATGTTTTACAGCCGTAGTACAAGACAGATTTCACATTTGTGTTAAAGACTCCCCTGATACTTTTTAATGCTCTACTGAGGATATTATCTACCGCGGGTATAAAAAGCAATGTTGATAGTATACACCCTTGTCACACATCTGTTTTGATGAAAAAAAACTCAGAGAGCTGGTTTTTGTGGAGCACGCAACACTTAGTATTCTTGTATAGCTCCTTCAGAAGGTTTATAATTTTTTCTGGTATCGCCTTTTTGAAGACTGCTGCCCAAATGTATGGTCGGTTTAAAATGTCAAAGGCTTTTTTTAAAATCTATGAAGGCAACATAGATGGTAGCTCTAAACTCAAAGATAATTGATTGATAATGCGAATTGTATATATTAGATCAACGCATGATCTATTGTTACGAAAGCCATGCTGGTTTCATCTTTAATTTGCTTCTGCTACTGTGGAAATTCTATTTTGTATACGTGCTGTGAAAATCTTGCTCGGGATTGGTAATAAGCTTATTCCTCAGAAGTTATTACAGTCACTTGCAAATCCTATTTTTAAGAGCAGCGCTTCATTCCAGCTGCCAGGTATAACTTCTGACTGACTGAAAGTGAAACATTGCAATTTAGTAGTTCTGGACATATGTTGTCTCCGTCTAAAGCTTATTATTCTGAAGTTTATTTATTGCTTCTGCAACCTTATCTCTCATTGGAGGATTTACATTGACGCATTGAAATTTTGATCGCATTTTAACTTTTATTTGCGGTTTCTTCATCGGTAGTTGCTTCTAACAGATTATTTAATATTTATTTAAAATCCTCAGCCCATCGCTTAAGTTGTTTCCTAAGGTCAGTTATGATATTTCCATATTTATCTTTGATGGATTTCTCTCCGTTATGGTTGGTGTCGGCCGTTTCCCTAGTTATTGAATAGAGATTCCTCATGTCATCACTGATTGCACCTGATTCAGCTATTGCGGTTTTCTTTTGTCGCGTCTGCAGTACTTTTTAATGACCTTGCACATTTGTGTGTATTGATGTCGCAAGTGACCATCCATAGTTTTATTATATTACTTTTGCGAACAGTGCTCTACTTGCGATCTTAAATAATCGCTAATTATATGAATCTGCTAATTTACCACTACAACCAACCAACCATATTAATAATGTATTCTGTAAGGTTCGTGTGAACATATAACGTTCTAGAATATCAGGTAGATATGTGTATGGCAATATATGGCGGTTTAATGTATTTTAAGTAATACATTATCTATTGATGGTGATTAGTGGGCCCAGATAATATAATCAATTTAGAATAGACATTTATAATCGATTGCAATCGGTTCGCTGGTTTCTAGCCACGTGGGACAGATTTTAGTATAATCGAAGGGAACGAATCTGATTATGCTGAAGAAAAGATTAATATATATCTTTATATATATATAAAGATATATGGTATGTTTGTATCCTATAAGTTGACCACGAACTTGATAATTGTGATTCGTTTCTATCAGCCGTATTTTCCATATTTTGGATCATCTGAATATGGATTAAACACACGCAAATTTTTTTGCTTAGTAAATAACAGCGCTCACAATTTTTTTCAGGTATGCCTGATAGAGTCATTAATTTTCGATGAGTATATTCATTTATTCATACCACTCGAGTATATGCTATGATTTATGCGTCATTTGCCATTTATGCTGCTCTACTTAGAAATATATAAGTATTCTTGTGAAGCTGATTCATTAGCACTGGCATTCGTTAACAAAATGCCGGTCACTTATGAATCATTTCGGTGGCGAATGTGAATGCATATACTGGATGGATTGACAATTACCTGACTTCACAATAGGTGGCAGCACGAGAACAAAATCAATTATATTTAGTATATCCGTTTTGCAAATTTTAAACGAAAGATGTAAAAGTTTTGACTTCATCAGATGTTTGGTCATCTTTTTGCAAATAATTGTTATAGTGGACCTTGGTGAGTTTTTATAAAATGGAAAAAATTGAATATCGTTCAGTAATGAAGTTCCTCCATTTGAATGGAATAAACAATGATGCACTCAAATTGAAAATGGATTCTGTTTATGGCAACCTTGTACCATTGTTAACAAACAATAAATTATTGGAAAGCTGAATTTAAACGTGGTCATACGAGTGTTTTTGATGAAGAGCGTCTGGGCTGTCAAACAAAAGTCAGAACTGAAAAAAGCATTAAAAAAATTCACAATGTTGTGTTGAATAATCCAAAAACTGAATTGCCTGAGATAGCAGAGATAACAAACATATTATATGAACGTGTATCGAATATTTCACATGAATATTTGGGTATGGGTCCCGCGTTTCCTCACAATTGATCAAAAACGACAACGACTTCGTCATTGAAACAATTGTTTGGAAATGTTTATGTACAATTTAGCTGACTGTAAGCGTGTAGAGTCGAGTAGTGACAATTGATGAAATATGGAACCATTACTTCATACCTGAGGGAAAACAACAAACCATATATTAAGTATTGTAATATCATAAAATAAATACGGCAGGCAGCTAAAATGTCATAGCTGTAAGCTTTGTATATATATATAATATAATTGTTATAAATTTATATGTAATATAACAAATTTAAAAAGAAGTATATATATATATATATATAATTGAATTTATTTTCAACACTGGTTAATTCGCGCTTAACTGAAGGCACCCTGCAGTCAACGCATGAATAATATTTTCAGATTTTTAGATTTAGCCGCTGTACAGTCCGATCAACGTTTTAATTTTGACAGCTGACAAGCAAATGGCAAGTACCCTGTAATTGAATGCGAACTAAACCAAGTGACAGCTGAAGTTGACGGTGCAAAATTTTTAGAAATTCATTTTATGTGAATAAAGTGAAATTGGTTTTGAAAAAAATTTTTTTTTTTGACAATGTCACTTTATTGATAAAATGAAGTTGTGCTACCATAAAAACTCAATAAAAGTAAAAATATATTGATTTATAGACGGGAAATTGCTTGCGCGGTTGAAGCATAACACAATCTTAAAATTTCGGACTGTGCTTATTGTACACATTATATTTCATTTCATTTAAATGCAATTATTGAAAGAAAATTATAAATTATTTTAAGCAATATACGGCCAGTAAAACATTTACTTAATATGTCCTTGAAGCCAAAATCTGTTAATTTCGATGAAATTTGGCCACAATTACGCGCTACTGCAACGGCTGTTGTTACTTTAGGCAAGGTTGAACGCGATGCGTGGAATACCAGTTTCAGGTACATTTAATTACAGTTAAATAACTCTCTGCATAACGTCAAAATGCATGCTTATGTACAGTATTAAGAATTTTGTTTTATTTTTAGTGATGTGTATACGTTGTGCGTCGCACACCCTGAACCATTTGCAGATAAACTCTACGCTGAAACTAAAGATTTTCTAGAGCGTCATGTCAGTACTATGTTATCCGAAAGGGTAATGCCTTTATCAAAAGAGAATGAATCAAGTAATCCACTCTGCCAACCGGATCTACTACAACGTTATTATGAGGCGTGGGCTGAATATAGTCAAGGCGTAGAGTATTTGCACTTCCTCTACTCGTAAGTACCAAATATATATACAGCGCTTTATTATTAATAGTATATAGTATAGTATTTCCAAACACTTTGGGTAAAATTGTACATTATTGCAGGTACCTCAACCAACAGCATATTAAAAAACAAAAACTATCTGATGCTGAAGTAGTTTATGGTACCATATCCACACAACACAGGGAGCAAATGGAAATTGGCGAATTAGGTAAAAAAAGTTTACAATCAGTTAATTAAAAAAAGCTGCTAATTGGTTACTATAAGACGGTTACTATGTATAAGTCTAATAATATCTGTAATAATAATGTAAGTGTATGACTTTTAAAAAAATTCTTAATATTTATGTAATTTTCTGTGTGATCTAAATATGAGTTTTAAGAGTAAGTCTGTCTAGTTTATAATATAAAGTCTTACGCGACAAAATTCTAAATGAATTTTCTGAGAATAAAGAAATTATCCAGAAAAAAATGTGAGCGAATGCAATTTTCTAGGAATTTTAGATAATTATAGTAAACCACATGTAATAGCCTATTCACACAGCACAAGTAATCATGATTAAAATTTATTATGTTCCAGAAGTGACTGAGTTTACTTCACAGAAGCTCTCGTCAATTTCGACGACCAAGTGTCAAATTCACCATTTCTAAAAGAGACTAGTTCACACTTCATTTACCCAATTATGTATTGCATTTATAAATCCTTATATGTAATCTGCCATATAGATTTCTATGAGTTAATACTATAGCAACATTGAATTGAATTTTAATTGTGATTTTAATGTTCACCATTTCTAAAAGGGACTAGTTTACACTTCATTTACCCAATTATGTATTCTCATTTATAAATCTTTATATATTATCTGCCATATAGATGTCTATGAGTTAATACAATTAATACTGTAATTAATAAATACTATACAACATTGAATTTAATTTTAATTGTGATGTGTAAATAGGCTGTCAAGCTTATTTACACAGCGCAAGACATAACGATTAAAATTTAATTGGCTTCAATTTCGATGACCAACTGCCATTTCCAAAAAGAACTAATTCACATTTCCTCTATTTAACCATATCCTAGTCCATGCATTCGTATTTGTAAATTGTTTCACGCTGTATCTGTCATATAGAACTCTACGATCTACTACAATAACAACAACGATTAAATTTTAAATTAACCCATTAAGTACCAGGCAATTTCAGACTTGGAATTTTACAGTGAAATTTCCATAGCAAATAGTAAATAGTAGAGTTTAATTATATGAGAAGAGTTTAATATTTATTAAAAAAATATTCAAAGCTAGCCGTGTGGTGAACCACACGGTGGTCCGAAATGGGTTAATTGTGTTGTGTGAACAGAGTATAATAAAAGCAAGGAATTGTAATTTTGATTACACACAATTCTGTTAGGACTCAGGAACGGCATGAGAAAAATTGTTGTTTTCAATGCAAATTATAAAAGCGAGAGTAAGAGAAAAAACAATTTGTCGGATCAAATTTTGGAATGAGTGCCGGGGTATTTGTGTCTGGGTACTTAGGCAAAGCAGTGTTTAATAATAAATTTCTCAGAATTTGCGTCTTCTAGAAGCAAATTATCACAATTTTAATGTTTTAGAGAAAAACTGGCAGTAAGCAACATAGCCTATTTTATAAACCGGTAATAATCTAATTATTACACTTTCCGATTTTAATGAGAGGCATATAATAATAAATTAACATTAACATTTTTGGTGACAAATTGAAAATGAGCATATCTACATTTCCTTTTAAATTTATGTACAATGAAAAAGTATCAAAACATTGTAAAAATATGAAATTGGCAATAGTGATGTGACAGTCTACATAACATGTATTCTCGTCATAGCCCGAAAGAGCCAATTTTGCTATGCCCGAGACAGTGTACATAACATGGCCCTTAGGTTCTTTGAAATTAGAATGCGATTTCACACAAAAATCTGACAGCTAAAATTACGTTTGAATAGTAATTTGTATAAAATCAAGTTTAAATTAGGTTCGCAATTCACAATATGATTATTATTTAGCGATATTGTGAATGGCAAGATTTGCAATGCAAGCATGTTTTTACCGAAACGAGCCGAACCGGCAAAATTGCAATCACTTCTGCTAGACGTCCAATTATTCAATTGTTTGTTCGTATAAACGAGGTACCTAACATAATTTTGTAATGTAATTTTATTAACACTTATTATTAGTTTATATAAGATATCCTTATATGAAATTCTTGGGACAAAAAGCTGATAGAAGAGACACAGTAGTCTCAGTATCTTTTTTTTTAGATTCAAGATGATTGATCTTTTGTGTTTTAAAAGTTAAAATTTTGTAAAAGTTTTTACTTCACTTTATTTAACTTTCTTTATTTCTATTGGAATATAATACATTACATACATTATTATTAATTATTTACACAAAAAATTTTTATTAAAGGCCTCGATATTTGGCGTTTATGCATGATAGAAGGGCTCAGTACTGAATTGGTCCGGCACATTCTCCAGGGTATTGCCGCTGATCGAGAGAATGATAAATCGATCGATACTAAGAGAATTAAGATTATCCATGGTGTCATACATAGTTTCGTACAGGTGCAAAATTACAAAAAGACTGGGTCACTTAAATTATACCAAGATTTATTTGAAAACTATTTATTAAAAACCAGTGGAGAGTATTATGCGGGAGTATCATCAAAGTTATTACAAAGTTGTACTGTAAGTAAATATATGGAAGAAGTTATTAAAATTCTTGAAGATGAAAATCAGCGAGCGTACAGGTTTTTACATACTAGGTTCGTATAAAATAAATTCAAATTATTGTATGTTGTTTAAATATAAACATTTTATCTTGTATTCCTTCAGCTCGTATCCGAAAATGCGTAAACAATGCGAAGAAAAATTTATTAATGATAGATTGGATTTCTTATATTCTGAGTGTAAAGAAATGGTAACTCAAGAAAAGCGCAAAGACTTACGCAATATGTATATAGTATTGAAACCCATACCCGACAACCTGAAAGATTTGCTGATACAATACTTCTTGGATCATATTAAAAACGAAGGCCTTGAAACAATATCAACATTAAAAGGCGACAATATACACATACAATTTGTTGAAAATATGTTGAAAGTACACCACAAGTTTCAGGAACTTATAGCCGATGTTTTTGAAAATGATTCACTATTTCTAAGTGCTTTAGATAAGGCTTGTGCGAGCGTTATTAATCGTCGTGTAAATGACAAAACGCCATGTCGGAGTGCCGAATATGTAGCCAAGTATTGTGATACGTTATTAAAAAAATCAAAGACTTCAGAATCTGAAATTGACCAAAAACTGACAAACAATATAACAATTTTTAAGTATATTGAGGATAAAGATGTTTATCAAAAGTTTTATAGCAGACTTCTTGCTAAAAGGTAAAATATAAATCAATTAAAAGAAAAATAAATATATAATTTTTAATATTTTTCAATATTATTCAAGGTTAATACATGAACAATCGCAAAGCATGGATGCTGAAGAAGCTATGATTAATAGACTTAAGGTCAGTATTACACATATATGTGTATTACTCAACTGTTTAATGTTAGCATGGAGTCTATACTTCATACTTTTGCAATTAACACTTTAAATATACATGATACGCCACGAACAATTCTGCAGAGTTAACATTAGTTTTACAAGCGAATGGGAAAAAACATTTTACTCACTTTTTAAAATCCTAAAAGAGCACATAATAAACAAAGAGGCTAACCCACTCTAAACAGACAGATCACTTTTAATTCAATACTAATTAAAAAAATTAAGTTTAGATCACGATAATTCCTTTAAGCTTTGCCATAAAAATTAGAATATAGTGCAGCGATTAAATGCAGAGTTTATTATCGACATACTAGAATTTCAAATCCCGACGACTAAAAGCCTATTTACACAGCACAAGAAATCGATTTTTGTTTGTAGTTTTATTTCTTCACCTAATTTCAATTGTAATTTGTAAAAACCAAGCGGGAATTAAGTCACTATCCATAAAAGTACTATTAATATTCAATTCACAATATCACATTGTAAATTATTTTCAAAACCTAAAGCGAAACGAAAACAAAAAGTGCCACAGCTTTCGGTATTTAACTCTACAACCGCAACTTCAAAAATAAAAATCAAAAAAAAAAATTAAAATTTGCTGTGTGAACAGATTTTTAGCCAATCAAACCGATTAAGCAAAATTGTAATCAATATTACGATTACTTATGCTGTGTGAACAGGCTATGAGCTAAAATTAGATTTATAACCAGCTGTTAAATTTTTCACTAGTCTCGAACTAGGAAGATTTTAATAGGGCGTTGTACAAAAGATTATCTCAAGTAAGGCACGCATAGACTGTAATTTAATAATATATAAATGGTTGTGTTCGTAAACGGGTGTCTTTTTTTTGGTACTATATTATTTAATTTCTTACTATTTTGTATTCCAATGCTACCAGTTTTTTTTATATATTAACAAAGTTTACAAAATATATTTTGATTAATTTATGAATAAAATAATATTTTATTATTTTTATTGCAGCAAGCATGTGGTTATGAGTTCACTAATAAATTACATCGTATGTTCACTGATATATCTCTATCTGCCGACCTTAATAATAAGTTTAGTAACTTCCTTAAAGATGACAACGTAAAATTAGGTAAATTTTATATATAGATAACACTTTTTTTTATGGTGTAATAATTGTTTTGTTATTTTTCATAATTAGGTATAAATTTATCAATTAAAGTACTTCAAGCTGGAGCTTGGCCATTAGGACCTTCACAAGTAGTTATACCATTTGTTGTACCGCAGGAATTCGAGCAAGCAATTCGTTTGGTGAGTCTTTAAAGATTTTGATTTTTAATCATTCTTATCATTTAAATGTATATTTTCTTTTATGTTTTAGTTCGAAACTTTCTATCATAATTCATTTAGTGGTCGCAAGTTAACTTGGCTGTATCATATGTGTCATGGAGAACTGAAACTGACTTTTCTAAAAAAGTCTTATATCGTAACAATGCAAACTTACCAGATGGCTATTCTTTTATTGTATGAGACAGTAGATTCATACACCTGTAAAGAAATCCAAACTACTCTTGAACTTAATACTGAAACCTTTCAAAAACATATGCAATCGTTAATTGATTCTAAATTACTAATAGCATCATCAGAGGTACTCGATGATGAAACTAAAGTTTCTTTAAATTTCGATTATTCAAATAAGAGAACCAAATTTAAAATCACATCAGCCCTGCAGAAGGAAACTCCACAGGAGGTAAATTATATATTCATAAATATATGTAAAGATAAACTTAATTGAGTACAAAATTAATTGAGATAAGTTATGTAGACCAGTGTTTTTCAACTCAAAACGTATTGTGGACCGTATAAATCTTCAATATATTTTGTAAGGACCTGTACTAATATTCTCTTAAAAAAATAATATATAAAAGACGAAAACTATACATATTATATGCTTAAGTAAATTATGTATATTATATTATACTTAAGTGTATATATTTAAGTGCATAGAAAAAAAAAAATAGTAATAATTAATCCAATATTTTTGAAAACATTGATTTTTTTAATTTTTTTTTCAAATGTTATAAAATACTTTGAGAAAAATATATAATATTACCGATAATAATAATGACACGGTCAATGATTGAGAAACGCTGATGTAGATAATTAAATAAATTTTAAAATGATTAAAATATTATTTTGTTATGATTTATACTATGATATTATATTATAAATGATTTTTATAATCATCATTATTTTTTTTATTAATAGTACTTTAATTTTTATATTTTATTTTTAGATTGAACATACAATAAGCGCAGTGGATGAGGACCGAAAATTGTATTTGCAAGCTGCTATTGTTCGTATTATGAAGTCTCGAAAGGTTTTAAAGCACAATACATTAATACAAGAGGTATGTGCAATATCTTCTATTTATTTATAAGGCATAAAAAATCTATCTTGGTTTGATGTAAAAAACATCATTTTTGAGAAGATTTTTGTTTCAATTATAATACAATCAATTCAATAGTTTTCCATTATTTTTATTACCTTTAAACCGATTCTTAAGAAAGGCTAAAATAGGCTACCGTTTTATTGATTATTTTGTCAAGTTTACGAACAGGTAGTAAAAATCAGATCTGGAAAGTATAGCTGGGAATGGAGTTATTTCAAGTAAAATTCGTTTGAATTATAATTGTCGACTTAAGATACGATGTATTATTTGTAATAAACCATTTTGGGTGATTTTTTTTTGCAATTTTATTCTTCACAGGCATCTGCTGTGTAATTGTCCGGCTCTCGACAACAAAATACTCGGATGTTGTCAGTTTTACCGGACTGGAGCACATACCTGAGGTTTCTGTTGAAATCTTAATAAAATTCGCTAATAACATGCGCACCCTAAGCATTGCAAGTATCACTAAAAAAAAAAAAAATTAAGACTCTGATCTGGTATCGCAATAGACCTTAATGGTCTACGTGCGACCTTTTTGGTCTGCCAGCATAATCTGATAACCTAACGTTCTTCAAATCAAGACTTTAATACTATAATCACATTTCGATTTTGACGGTTTCTCATGTGGACCCAAAATACAGACAATGCCATTATTCTAGCCAATAGTTACGATTTTGGTTGATGTTTTTGTAGCAGTCCGTGAAGATCTATAAGGCAGAAAACATCAAAGGAATTACAAATATAAGTACATGGGTTAGAATATGGTTTGGTAAAAGAAATGTGAAAAGGGAGAGGATTGTCCGGGAATAAGAGTAGATTACGGGTAGTTAAGAACATGGATTAGGATATGGTTTAGTGAAAGAAATGTGAAAGTGAAGAGAATTGTTTGGGAACAAAAGTAGATTAAGGGTGATTGGGACTATACGATTTCAGTCGGTGTTTATTTAGCTAGCTGTCTGCCGATTAATCTTCAAAGTATAGTAATCAAGTCACCTTTCATTTATACTTATATATTTATTATATAAATAAATTCGGGTTATTATGCTTGAATGTGTTAAAATATCACAAAGCGCTTTTGATAGACTGTTAGCCAACAACTTTCTCATGACTAAATGTGAATGTAAAATACAGTAACTGCTTAAAAAAGTGAACTAATTAAAACCAACATTTATCCAGAACTACAGTTTTAGAATAGTGAATGTTTCTGTATTAACGATTTCGAGGAAACACTATGCGGTCCCAAGTATATGTTTAACATTTTTGAGCGGATATTCAACATTAGCAAATTTTACTTGTTGTCATTCGTAACGGTTTGGTAGATTTTTGTGATAGTAACACCCTTATCTGGGCAAGCAGAGGATTATATATTTTCAATACTATATTTTTCTTTCTGTCTTATGACAATAAATCTATTTCGGATAGAAAAGTGAGCAAGAGTGTCGAATCCAAAAATTTTTTTAATTTTTAATCAAGTGAAAGTTTGTGCAACCCAAACAGCTATTTCGGTTATTGTCAAATATCCATAATTCGTAGTCTTTGTTAAAATCTATTAGTTTATTTGTCCATATGTAATTTTTGTACTGCAAGTATTAGGAATTAAACCCTGTTAAATTTGAACTATGGATAAGCTTTGTGCTAACACACAGAGCTAATGTTAATTTGCTTTATCATCATTATTCAGAATTTAGAATTTTATCAATTCTAGTACTTGCTGTGCTATTTATTGGAACTAACATATAAAACACAGCCATATAAGTACTGAATGAAAAATTTTATTGGGTTTTGATAAAATTTTCGATATTATCTATTAACAGAAACATGGTTATATGGTTTTCATTTCGTGAACCAAATAATATTTTTTTTATAAATCAATTAATAAAGTTTTCGGTACTTTCAAACATTTAATAACAAATCAATTTTATCTACCGTTGCTGTAACTCGCTGGGATCTGTTTGTGTAGTCCCTTCGGGGAGTGTTGAACAGTACTTGGTCGTCGCTGGCGACGAGTGGCTCCGGGACGTAAACCCGACCGTTCGTGGAACCATTTATCGTCGCTTAATGCCTCTTTTTGTTTCGATACCAAAAATATTAATCAATTTTATTTCATAAAACTTTTAAAATCTTCTATAATTTTTACCTCATTAATAGTATAACAAGTTTAATAACTGTTTATGGTAAATATAAATAATTTTAATAACTATCTTAACTTTTATGGACTTACCGCCCAATTTTCACCTGATAAGAGATTCTCAGATAAGCTTGTACTCTATTTCCTATTATATGCTTCTATTACAATGTTTTTTAATTCATATAGTGTGCCGTACTCTTCCATTTAAACTAGTTCAATTTAAAATTTTTTGTACACATTTTGTCCATATATCCTTTCATATTACATCACATTGAAAAAGACTACCGTCCGTCCGTCCGGAATACTGGTTTACTTTGTACAATAGGTACATGTATAATAAATTATGTAAAGGAAAAAAATTAAGTTAACATTTTTTTAATATGAATCAGTACAGTATTTTGAATAGATTGGAAGATCTCCTACCTTCTGTGAAATACATATTTTAAATCTGTTATAGTATAAACCATATAAACACACTTACAAGGAAAGAACGTGGAATATTTTTTAACAATTCTGTGAATTCTCTTATAAAACCAACATCAAGGATAGAATTTTTGCGACAAATATGAATTTATTAACTAAGTGGGTTTGCAGCTTGTAATTAAAAGATATACATACACTATGTATGTCCTGTATGTCCAGGTTTCGTCTATCCAGAAATTCTTAAAATATGATACTAGCTACCATTTGCTTACTCTTCTTTCGTATATTTCTTTCTTAACTCTTCTTCATATCTTTGGTTTTTTTTTTTTTTGGTTGCATTCTTTTTACAAACTTTACTATTTACAAATTTTTTCTTCATCTTGTTCTTTTATTTTTCACTGACACTCTTCTTTCTTCTTTCTTTCGGATGAGGATATGGATATTTACTAGCTCTCCTTCCTCCTTTTTTGTTCTTTCAGGTATTAACTCTTCTTAATATTTCTCCGTTTTTCTTATTAACTCGTTTTTTGCTGACCGCTTTATTAGGCTTTGTGGTTCCTAACGACACGATTTCTAGATTTAGCTAAACAAATTATTATTTATAAATGTAATAATATTTTTGCCTCACGATCTTCTTGGTTTAATTAAACCCAGATAGAGATGCTGAACCTCTGTAATAGTTGCAAGATATGAGCAGTTAAAATGAGGAAATATCTTATATGACGTTTACACTGGCTTCAAGTGACTGATTTGGTTTAAAAATCACGAATGAGAAGCAAATGACTGTTTTTGGCATACAACATCTCATATGTGCAAGTGAGATCCACACTCGTGGAATAGATCTTACAATGAGTTCCAAATGCAAACGAATATATTGAACACACCCTAAATAAGTTTTTCATGGAATTTTGACAGTTTGAGAAAGTTGTTTTTGACATATTTACAAAAGAAAAGGTAAACAAATATTTGGTGGTTGCATTTCCTTAAAAACGATGAACCATTTTTTGAAACTTTTACTTTCCAAAAGTACTTAATCGAAACTAAAAATAGGTTTTCAGTGTATATTGTAAGATTTGAACGTATTTTTTACATTCATACAATATTTTTTTGGCACAGGCCAAATATCAAATCAACAGGCATATTGACAAATCAGCTGTTTGAAATTAGAACAAATGAATAAAAACGAATGTAAACACTTTCAAATGACTGATTTGAAATGAGTCATTTGCGATCAGTGTAAACACCATATTACTCTGTAGTCACAGAATCTATAGACTTTAACCTCTCTAAATAAAATATATTATATTATATATTATATTAACATATATTATAAATATATTTACTATAATAATTAAGCTTGATATCATAAATTTTATGCTTATGCTTTAATAGAAAGAACTCTCTTTGACTATCCTAAATTTTATCGTTTGTGTTAACAAATGGCGGAGATCGGGTCCTTTTTGAAACTTACCAGATAATAGTATGTTACGATAAATAAGTGGAGTTTTATCATATTTTTTAATACAACCAACTACGTTTGAAACTTACTAGCTGATAGATATTGTAATAGATAGTACTACCCTTATTATACCATCAATCTTTGCGTGTTATCATCTTTGTTTGTGGAGATTCCTCTTAAGACCACTTTCGTACATTACCATGTGTGATTCACTTTGCATTCTCACCTATCGTATTATTTAAAAAGGCTTGATTGCAATCCGTTACTAAACTTAATTTTGTATTCATCTATACAAATGGATTAAATCTTGTTTGTGCTTAATCTTTACCTTACAATAGCTAAAGTGATGGCACATATGTTGGTATTTTCGAATCGTATTCATGATTCTGAAAACATTTTTAGCAACCAGAAAGTGTACTATCTTTCACATCTAAATTTCGAGAATAAAATGAGAATGATGATTTTTCAACACTTGATTACATTAGAATACCCAAGGAAAGCAAAGGATTTTCAAACAAAAATAAATTAATTAAATAATATTATAATTAGATTGGTGGGGGCCTAGTCACAAAAGGTTTTGGAAATTATCATAATAAAGCCAAAATGATACAATTAGAGGATTTACCCTAACTGAAACATGATTAATTTTAAAACAATTTGATTATGATCATTATATCAGTATATGTATTTTGTAGATAAATATATTTCATATTTAATGAAAATTACACATCTTTATATTTTTCTTCCTACCTTTTTCCTGTCCCATCTTTTTTAATTCGTCGTTAATTTTTTTCGGTGATGGTTTGACTTGGCAAAATAGACTTCAAAATAGACTAGTGCTTCAAAGTATTCGAAACGAATTATATTCGAATTCAAATTTTTAGATCAAATACATAAAATGATCGGGCTGCCCCAAAATATGTGGGCTAATCAAACAGCACATTTGCTCAATTTTTCATTTTATCCCAGTTTTTTTTACATCTTCAAGAAGCGCACTGTGTTCAAACACCAAAATGCTCAAATCTTCGAGCAGTTCAAATAAAAACCATTGAAGTCAGTCATGTGGCTAAATGTCTCCGCGTGAACCTAGTTTAATTTTATTTAAACCGTTAAACATGCATAATCCGTTGTTGTTTATGAACAATTCCCCTCTTTTCTCCATTTTCTTTACCCAACCATATTCTAACTCATGTATTCGTGTTACTAGTTTATTTTATGGTATCCAATACACTCCTAAAGACTCCCCTCTCTTCCCCACTTCCTTGACCCAACCATATTGCAATCTATATGCTCGTATTTGTGATTCCTTTGATATTATCTGATGCAATAGGTCTACACCTATTGTCTATCTATAATCAGCTCTTGTTCTTAAATAATCCCCCTCTCTACAGCCAACCATATTCTAATCCTTATGTTCGTATTTGTTGTTTGTTTGATATTATCTGATACAATAGATCTGCACCTATTGTCTATTCATAATTCGCTCTTGTTCCTAAACAATTCCTCTCATTTACCCACTTCATCTAGCTAACCATATTCTAACACATGAATTCGTATTTGTACTTCCTTTTATGTTATCCGTTACAATAGGTTTCCAACTATTGTCTATCCCTAATTCGTTATTGTTCCCTCTCTTACCCACTTTCTGTACCCAATCATATTTTAATCCATATATTCGTATTTGTGGCTCCTTTGTTGTTTCCTGAAGAAACTATGTAGTCTTCATGGACTACAATAACAGCAACATCTGAATAACATCTGAAGTACTATAATAATAGTTTATCGCAATAGAATCATCATTATTTTGGCAATGGTCCATCACAGTGCGTGATGAACCGTTGCCTCCTCTACAATACGCCTCCATTCTTCTCTGCATTTTGCTTTCTTTTTGTGTTGTGTTATTCTTATCGTTCGTATGTTGTCTTCTACATCTTGTAATCATCTTCGTCGCGGTCGCCCTCTTTTTCTACTACCCTCTGGCATTATCTCGAAAATTTTCTTAATTATTCTTTCGTTACTCATTCGTAGGATGTGTACTAGCGCAATCTTTAGGTTTCTATGTATCGTGTTATATTTCGGCCTTCGTTTAAGACATTCAATTCGTCGTTATACCGTATACGATATGTGGCGTCTTCTAAGCACACCGGGCCAAATATTTTCCTGAGTATTTTTCTTTCGAAACTCAGTAGCAGGTTGTTGTCGCTGGATTTAAGGACCCATGTTTCGCAGCCGTAGGTAAGAATCGGTCTAATGATAGACCGGTAAAGATAAAGAATATCTTTACTATAAACAATACAAATCTTTTGCATATATTAGAAGTCATTTTACTTTGTGATAACAATCTCAATAATATATTTACCAATAACCTATTAATCTGTTATCTGTTAAAAAAAGATAAAAAAAATAATTGCTAGATCTGACAGGTTTAGCGTTTTTAAAGGTTTTGCGCTTTAAATACAAAAGAATAGAAAACCGCCAAATACTTTTTGGCCAACCCAATATTTTCAACATTTTTTGATGAACTTACTAATGATTTTTCTTTCTTTACAGATTCTAGCTCAATCGAAAGTAAGCTTTACTCCAAACATCTCAATGATCAAAAAGTGTATCGAATCGTTGATCGATAAGCAATACATTGAACGTACCCCAAACTCAGGGGACGAGTACAGCTACGTTGCTTAGTCGCCGCATTACTCACTCAGCACAACTCCTTAAATTATATTAATTTTTATTTTTATTTTGATTTTGATTTTGATTTTTTTTTGCTTTCAATCTTTACGCAAAATGTTTTCCGTTTTCCGTCAATATTTTATTTTATTTAATTTATTTACTTTATTTTTTTTTTTGCTGATTTTGTTCATCATATTTTTTTGTACCTACTTGAACGTTTAGTCTGCATGCAAATTAAATATTGAATGTTTGCGAAACATCTTAACGAAATAACACAGCATCTGTGAATGAGGATTGGAAATGTAAATTACATAAAATATATTTTTAAATTTTTAATATAAAAATAGAATGAAAATTGAAATATTTTGTACAGCAAAAATTTGCGCGAAACTTGTCAACGATTACAGAATTAAAATATATACAAAAAAAAAAAAATTAAAATTTAATAAAAAAAAAATAAAAATAACAAAAATAAAATAACAATTGGTTTTTGTTTTTAATAAACTGTTTATTTATTTTTATTTTATTTATTTTTTATTGTTAAATTTTTTCATTTTAATTTATTTTTGTTACCATTTTAAAATATTTTTCTTTAATTGTTATTATTATTTGTTTTTAATTTGCAAAGTATCCGTGAGTTGTTCATGGTGTCTAAAGAATCTCTATAAGTAATTGAGTTATTAAAATTTTTTATATTTTTTCTAAGAATTTCTGTGCTTATTTTTGCTACAAATTTTCTTCATCTTTTTAATGTTTTTTGTCTTATTTATTTATTGTGTATAATTTATAAAATAAAATGAAGTTTTTAATAAAATATTTCATTTTTTTTGTTATTTTGAGATTTTTAAAGTTTATCTAAGTACCTGAAAGATTTTTAATTATTATTAATTATAATTTATGCTGGCATCATATCGTATATATAAGATTATATAAATAATAAGTAATCATGTAGGTTAGTACAAAATATTAAAAAATTATATAATTAAAGAGCATCCGTTATTGATACCTGTTAACCTATTTTCGTTATCAGTGCTTATTAGTTTGGCAGTAGTAAAGAATGAAATTCAACGAAAAGTCGAAAAGTGAAGAATTTAAACGAATCATTTCACAAACTCTAATACTAAGTACTAAAAAGCGACTACATTCGTCTTTATGGAGTACTAAATCGTATTTTTGCTTTATAAACGTGATGTGAGCTATGTAGAGAAGTGCTTTACTTTACTTTAAGAACTGATATTGTTACACATAAATATCGAAAATAATTTAAAAGCTGTTGTATAGACTCTATAAATAATGCTAACCAAATTTAGAAAACTCTAAAATTATTCCCGCATATATATAATATATTAGAGAATATATAATAAACTCAAATGGAAAGGAAACAGAGAAGAAAAAACCGAAATACAAATTCCTTTAAGCGAATTTTAAACTCTCCAAAATTATCCGTAATATCCCTAAACTATCCCTAAAAGTATATAATAAGCTCAAATGGAAAGGAAACAGAGAAGAAAAACCGAAATATAAATTCCTTTAAGCGAATTTTGAACTCTCCAAAATTATCCGTAATATCCCTAAACTATCCCTAAGAGTATATAATAAGCTCAAATGGAAAGGAAACAGAGAAGAAAAAACCGAAATACAAATTTCTATAAGCGAATTTTAAACTCTCCAACATTATCCCTAATATTTACGAGTACATTTAGAAATCAGGGTGAAGGATGTAGCAGTCCAGTTCCTTATTCTTAGTTAACTTTAATTAAATTTTAATGTTAACTCACAAATAAATAAATATTTTCCTGGTACTTGCAGTCTCAAACAATTATTTACGAATAATTCAATACAAGAATTCTTTCCAAGACCACTAATGATGGGTATTTGTCAATACTCGAAACAGCTGTATGATCAGTCTCAAAAATTTAATTAAATAAAATAATATTAATATAAGATGGATTTTTGGCGAAATAACTATGAATAAGATCGATCAAGCTTTTAGTTATTGTGACTTCATCATATATTATGCAAATCCGGAGAATTACAACTTTTTTTAACTCAAATAGCTGTTAAGACTATAGAATAGAGATCATAACAAAAGACTCGAAAAGTTACTAAGAATAAAGAGGTGTTATCCGTTTTCAAGCAAAAATGATACTCTGTCTTTTTAGCCAGACCCTTGTTAAGACTACAATTAAAACAGAAATGATTGGCTCAAGTTTCTTGACTTTTTTGCTGATATGGTGAGGACAAGATAAAGTGTTATTAAAATAAGAGCAGATGGTCTAAATAATAACTACAGTTATTATGTTATAGTAGTAGTATTTCAAAGTAATGATAGCTAATTGATTAATTTGAACTTAATTTGAAAGAGTTTGTAGACGAAAGAATTAATATGCTTATATTTTTGCCCACCGGGCCTCCGGTAGAGTTGTGAAGTTGTGGGAGCACTAACCGGACTTGATGTACGAGACTCGAGGAGGAGTGCAGATAGTAGAGGTGTCTGGAAAGATTTGCTGCGGGGGCCAAAGCTAGGGTACGGGTTGTAATGGCCAAATAAGTAAGTAAGTAAAAAAAAAAACGTTTGGTTGCTCATTTCAAAAGAAAATTACTGGAAAATAGTGAAGGATGCATAAAAATTTCTTGGTCACTTTACATATGAAAATGAATAGAAAAATTAAAAATTTTAATATGATCTTTTTTAAAACAATGATGAATAATTTTCCAAAAACAAGGAATTTTAAATCACCTTTATTTCAATACCCATATAAGCAAAAAAAAACAGAAAAGGCATCCACCTATAGAATATTCAATAGACCAAACAAACATTGATTTTAAGATACTGACTCTATGACATCGCTATCTTTCAATTAATATTGAAAATGGATCAGAACCTTAATCAATTTTTTTAAAAATCTTATGTTTTACACACAATCTATTAATAAATCAACGGTATATATATGAATTGAGTAAAAGCATTTGAAGTATGCTGTATATATATATATATATATATATATATATATACGAAAAATTTTCACTGAAAAATTGGTAAATAAATCACATCTTTCTCTCTCTCCACTAATCTCTACAAAATGTTCTTCTTAAGCTTTTAAATAGAAAATGTTTCGTTATACACAAAAACTCTTTTTGCGCTATAATCGGTATAGTTTACATGAGACCGGCCGTGTAAAACAAAATTTTAATAAGTTTCAACCGGAGTGCCGGAAACTTGGGCAAATAAAACATAAAATATCCATTCTGAACGCCCACTTTTCACTAACAGCAAGAATAGGTTTTTAGGGAAGTACTTTCTTAACTGTTCAGTACTTTTTTGAGTATTAAATAGTAATAAGAACACTTATCAGAGGAACGAAAGATCAATTAAACTGAATGATAACTGACGATGAGCCACTGTAACCAATCAACCAACTTAAACCGGACATTTTAAATCTTAAAAGTCTTTCTGATTTTTTTTTGTGTTAAAAAGAGACTTCTCCCCATCGTTTCTGGTTTTCCATTTCTTTAAGTATTATTTCCCAATGAAATTATATATATACATATATAAATAATATATATTTCTGTTTGTTGAAACAGGGAATAACACGTCCCGTCATTATACATTAAAAGCAGCCATAAGAGTATAACTTCGAGTTAATTAACCTATAGTAGAATGAAATTATTTTTAATATATGTAATACGACGATTTCAGTTCTACAAAATTCACATAATTTGACGTAAGATTTGCTCTTATTCGTCACAATCACATTTTTAACGCAAAACTATGATTCAATACATATCTAATCGCTACAGTTACAACAGAGCCGATTTTTTCGGTTCTTGAAATTTAATTGAATTTTTGCTAAGTACGTACAAATTCATAACATCTTCATTTTCTTAAATTGTATAACACATATTATTATCGTTTTCCCTTCTAAATTAGTTTATTCCTAATGTGGACGTAATGAAAGAATCAACCACATAAAGAGCTTACAATAAATGCTGTACTATAACCGGATTTTATATTAGGCGTGTGGTGTTTTACAAAAATATATTTAATATGAAAATACTGCTATATATTTTGAAGTTATGTTTTAGATTTCTACAATTTCATCTATAGTTTTCTATGTGCTTAAGTAAACTGAGGGTGTAAATTGAAGCAACAACACATGCAATATAAATACCTAACTCCCGACATTTCAATTGATTAATCGATATAAGTTATAGTGGGAACTGATCATGCTACCACACACAATACTTTAATATAATAGCATTAAATCGAAAACAATAACTTCAATTAGCTTCGTGCCGATGTATTAAATCTACTCTTTTATAGAGAATATAATCTACGGAACTATATCAAATAATCTTTTATAAGATCTTCTAAGTTCCATTTAAGACTAAACTAAGTCCGTTACATATGTATATATATATATATATGGTTGATTCTTAAATAATTTGTAAATGATATTTAACTTAATTTTTTAACTTATAATGATAATTTTAAAAATTTGGCTTTAACATCTTTGATTATAATTTCATTAAATTTAATATTCGGTTACACCGACTACATGTATATAATAAAAATTGCTTGCATTTGACTTATGGGTGTGAGTTATAATAGTGAGCACAAAAATATATTCATTGTTATTATTTTGGTTATTTTCCTTTTTTTTGTAGTTATGTTTCAATACTAATTATTATTTAAAGATCATACAAACTTCTTAATTAAAAAAATAAAATATTGGTATCCAGACTTAAATAGGGTCAATGCTTAGTACTATATGATAATAGATTAGGTTAGGTTAGGTTAGGTTATGGCGGCGATCGCCCATTATGTTACCGTATAATTAAAAACTAAAGGGTGAGAACCACTTAGAAACTTTGGCGAAGCCTACAATGCTATCCAGAGGGAGGTCTTGCAGTTCGCCAAGATCCTCCAAAAAGAAAACTCCTAAAATGTTAAGGTAGCGCCGCGCATGTACCGGACAGAAACAGAGCAGATGGAGGACACTTTCATCGTCCTCACCACAACTGCTACAGATATGGTTGAAAAGGATATTTAGTCTTCTAGCATAGTTACATGATAATAAATTGTCCGAACTCTTAAGCACATTCACTGGCGTTAAACAAGGATATGTCCTATATACTTTAATTTTTTTTATTGTGCAAGACACAGTTGTCAAAAAAGAGCAAAGAAAAGTAAAACAAGATACATCGTCTGTAACCCACTAACACCCAATGAACAATTGGAATGTTTAGATTTTGCTGACGACAAATGTGGACATTCTCATCGGCAAGTGGGGGTTGACAATAAAAATTCATATTAGCAAAACTTAAGAACTATAGAATTGAAAATAAATAATTAATTGCATCAGATATCAATAATGTATGCAGAGATCATTGAATGTATGAGTTGCAGTATTGTTTCGGAAAAAGGTCTGGACAGTTCAAGAAGTCCAGAACAGAATAAAAAAAAATCGATAGACGCTACTACTAGATTGCATAAAGTATGAATTTTCAATGGTTGGACTCTGAACAAAAATATAAGAATTTTAAAGCATGTGGGTTCCCGTCTTCTTATATAGTAGCAAGATGTGGTTCGTTATAGAAAAAATACAAACCAAACTGAAGGTGTTCGTCAATTGTTGCTTGCGTAAGATTCTACATATATTTTGTCCAAACAGAATTACAAGCCCACAATTGTGGTGCAAAACAAACCTCAATCGAAATTTGGCTGAAATAAAGGAAGGAGATTACTAAAATGAAATATAACATCATGCCTTTAAATGCAATCTTCAGAGAAGCAGAAAGGTACTGTCCTAAAACAACATGGAGAAGATCATTCATAAATAAAGTAAATTTCTTTGTACAATCTCGAAGCAGAAGTATAAATAACATTGACGAATTAAAGGATTTGATCTTGCGAAGGCAAAAATGGAAATACTATAGACTGTTATAGTTATAGACTGCCTAAGTCCTTTTAAAGAGAGCATTACGCTCTTTCGATAACTTAGCAGAATGTTTATATATACGTTAGCTCTACTCAATGCGAATAATCAAGTACCATCTATGAAAAAAAGCAGATATATTAGGGCTTTAATAATATATTTTGTCAAAAGTACGAAAAAAAATTCAACAAATAAATTTAAATACAAATAGAAGTATTCGAAATATTATGAAGAAAAATTTTTACAATACATTTATCAATTACTGTATCATTTAATGTTTGAACTGAATCTATATATTGATCCCTCTATCGTATACTAATATACCACAATCAACTACAGAGTAGAAGCCTTAAAGGTGCTTGAAGAGATATCTTTGCACAATTCGTTAAATAATAGTAATTGATAATGTTTAGACAACTTTATATTTCTTGTAAACTATTTCAACGTGTACTGAATGGAATTGTTAGTAGTATATAATTGATCATTGACTTCAAAGACCTGATCAGCAATATATATATATATATGCATAATATGTATACCCAATGCAATTCCCCTCACTTTATTACAAATATTGAAGTAAACTATTCAAATTATGCAATATCTTCTGACCAAAAACTTTATTAGCCGCAGTTTTTTCTTTCAGAGTTGTAAAAAAACAGCATTAAGTTTGATTGAAGATTTGCGAGTATGTATTTTTTGTTACTCTGAAAAAAAAATACGGCTATTAATCCATGCGTATTACAACTTATGGATTGGGTCACATGTTTCGTTAAGAAAATTTAATGATCGTGAAAATATCATCTGAATGGAAACGATCTTATGGGATCTCGTTGTTCCGGCCGTTTTCGCACGAGCTTATGCTTGCGATCCCTTTACGCAGATAATCGTTATTTTGAATTAAAAATAAAAATTAGCAAAAACACGAAATAAAAAAAAATAAAAATATTAATTAATATAATTAAAATAAAAAAAAATTGAAATAATGAAAAATTAATAGTAAAATAATTAGTAATATATTTTTTATTTGATTGCGAGGATTTCGCACTACGAGCTTGAGATCTAATGTGTCTCTTTGATGTATTCAAATGATTTTTCCGAGTTCAACTTCCCTAATGAATCGAACCCATTCTATCGAGTTTTATAGCAACAATATATTATTATTTATAAGGTATAAGATGCATATTAAAATAAATAAGTCACTATTAAGAAGTAGGTAAGGTAAGGTAAGAATAAGAACTCCAAAACAACAAAAAAAATGAATTAAAATTCGAGTCAAGATCAATATGCTTACACAAGCGGTTCGTTCTATGTATTGCAATAAAAAAAAAAAAACTTATGAAGTCATAATAAGACTAAAGAAATTATTAATATTTAAAGAAGACTGTGTATAGCAGTTATTTTGTAAATTTCTTCAGTAAACATTATTCTTGTTTTATTTTAACAAATGGACGAAAGTGAATTAACATAAAATGTGACTTTTGGTCAATTTCTATGATTATAAAATTGAAGTATTAAAAAAAGAAACATAAAAAAATAACATAGAATGAAGAGTCGTGGAGTTAAAATTTGAGTATCACTTGATTTCCTAGACGATTAATTGCGTTTTGTCTCTCCCAAACATATTAGAACAATAACATATTTTGGATACAAATGGAAATATTGCAGACCATGTTCCAGTCAATATTCTCAGTGAAGTTTTATACTTCGCGGGGAAGCAAAATACCTTAAAACTGATCGAATTCCATATTGAATCGCAACAATATTTCTTCTATGACTTAAAGTTGTTATTGGCATGGTGTATGGTAGGGCAGTTCCATTCTGTTTGGCAATTCCATTGTGTAGTTATGGCGAAAAATAGAAAGAAAGCAGGCGGAACAAAAGCGGAGGAACTGCTCGGACTATGAAAACATTTTCACCTTATTAACCCCTCAACTAACTCTACACCCATAAGTCTTATTGCTTTAATATTGATAAATAACTTATATTTAACGTATATGTATAATATATATATATAAAATATAATATAAATTAATAAATTATTATTAATAATATAAAATAATTAATGTAAATAAGTTATATATTGTTAAAATAATACTTTTATGTTGAGAGTTACATTTTGTTTTTTAATTGCTTAAGTTAAAATTGCACAGAGTTTGTTTTATTTTTAGTTTTTGAAACATTTTCGTTTGTTTTATAAAAAAAAATCGTTCTTCTAGTGTATAAGATACAAAAACAAAGCATTCCTTAAATTAAAAAAAAAAAGAAAAAAAAAAACAGAAGTCCTAATGCATCATTCATTCTCAAAATTTAAAGTTCATACTTTAGTATTCTAAATTAAAGTTATTTTTTTTTTAATTGAACAATTGTATATATGTCTTAATAGCTTGCACTACGACCTCAAAAAGCAATTGTATTATTTGAAACAAAACCATCTTAGGTTTAAAGTCGAATTGAAAATCTTCCAAAACGCAAAGCACAAAACGCTAGTCCATAAACGAATGTTTAGAGAGGTAACAATGACCATGCGCCATGAGATCCAATCAATTCAATCAACTAAAGATATACACTCATATATATACTATAAAGTTAATATTGTGAATTTTGCGGTAACGTTAAAGTATGTCTACGATGTTGCTTTAAAGATTTCTTTTTTAATAGAAAATTTAGCTGCTTTAAGTTCTACTAAATGCAATACGAGTACATCATCAAAGTCAGGAAAGTTCAAGGTATAAACTTGACACGCTTATGGATTTCAATAGTAATTTTTTTTAAATTCAGTCTTTAGATTCCCGGCTTTGTGCATGTGTATCTTGTATGTTTCATATATATATATATGTTATTCTTTATAAATGTATATATATTTTCTTTTTTACTTTTTTTGTTTTGTTTTGTTTTTTGTTTTTGTTTTTGTAAAATGCGTTCTCTGGAAAACATGATATTTATACTAATTTGAATATGTGTATATATATATATAATATAACGGTGAAAATAAATATATAATTTGTGTGTGCAATAATTTTTTAAATTTCATTTTTTGGATGGCAAGGATATTATTAAATTTACTGATCTAGTGAAAAATGTTTTGTTTTTTTCCAAAAACTTTTAAAAAGACCTTTTTTCTTCTGAAGCTTTTGTTGTCCTGTATTTTGCTGGCGACCACGCGACGCATCCTTTGCGGATGAGCCTGTGAAAAATTTAAAAAAAGTAAAGCATTATTTTACATTTTTATTACAGTGAAGTTCCCCTAACTCGAATTATTCCATAACTCGAACTCCCATGTACGAACATTGAACAACTCTTTCTTGCATTTTTCTATCTCTATAACTCGAATTTTTCTTAACTCGAGGTGCCCTTGACGATTCGAGTTAAGGGAATTTGACTGTATTTATTATTGAGCAAAAATTTACTTACATGTGCCAGTTTCATAAGGTTTCGGCGGTGTTTCTATTGTGTTTTCGTTATAAGGAGGTTTATTTTTCCTTTCTTTTGTATTTTCTGAAAAATTAACAAAAAATATACATAAAATTGGGTTATTTTTCACTTATTAATAATATCATTTATTATATTTTAGCATATCGGATTAGAAAATTAAAAAGTTTTTGACTAGCAATGCGCGGATATAAAGTCACCAATAAAGTAAGTCATCGGTCTCAAAATAAATAAAAAATTTAAAATATTTGATCGAGTCAAAAAAAAACTTTTGCGACTATTGAAAAATATTCAAGCAGTAAATAAAACGCCTACTCCAAGGAGTTAAAGAAAATCTTTTGCAACTAACTAGAAACGCTAAAATGGTCGGTCTCAAGATAAGTCTTAATAAGATCAAATATATGTCTATAACAACCACGAAGAAACACTTTCTTACTACAGCCGTTAAAAACCAAATAGTTATAATTGTGGATGTTAAATAGGCCGGCGGCTTATCCTTAGGGGCGACGAAATGGTCATTGTTAGAAGGCATAAAAAACAGAAAATCTAAAACCAATATTGTCGGGCTTATTAAGAAAACGCAAAATAGTTATCACCACAAGCATGAGCATATGCCATTATCGCAGAAAGCCAACACAAAGCTTCACATAGTTGAATTCGTTTCATTGCATAGGATATGAACCGTTACTGTGAAATTTTCAAAATAGTCTAGGCAAATATGAATGCGATCCATATTATTATTGTTGTACCCCGCTGGGGTCTTTAAGTAGAGAACATGAAAGGATTTACTGCAGCTCTATCCCCATGAAGTCGCCCATCTGTTTTCTTGTCTCTCTGCACATACCAATCTAAGTCCAATTGACCTTTGGACTCACCCTCTTAAAGTGGCTGGTTTTTTGCAGGTGGACCCAGCTGGCTGATTTCAATTATAACCTCTTTTTTCCCCGCCTCCTTTCTCCCTCCACCCTTACCTTAAACACCATCCATCCACATCCAAACCCATGTATTCGTCTTATATTCCTTACATAATATCTGCTTTTCAGATCCCGACGGGTTAGAACAACAATAATAGAAGATTTACAAGATGATTACAAAGAATGGGATGGGTTGTGGTTAAAGGTGGGGAAGGGGGGGGGGGATAGAGAAAAGAGGTGGATTGTAGTGAGTGAGATGAAAATTGAAGATCAATCCGGGTCCGGATGTAAAAGTGTGATTCATCGTCACACAAAGTTAATATAAAGCTTCATGTGCTGACATATGTTACATAACATAAGACATAATTGGTTACAAAGAACGGTAAAAAAATATAAAGAAAAAATTAAGAAATATCATTTAACTATATTTAAAATAAGAAAAGAATAAGAAATTAGGCTCCTAATAAAGCACTGGTTTTAGGAGTGCTCTAGCTTATGTATTCAAGCCACCTATTAATACAAACTTCAAAATTGTCACTCACCACGCCCATTACGGTTAACTACAACAATAATCTCAACAGATTTTTAGTGCTGCAAGAGACCCTTTCTGAATAAAAGACATGCCTTACCAAGAACAGAACGATTTTTGTTGAGTAATACTTCTTAATATTTCCATTCTACTGTAGGTTAGAGAAAAGTCGAACAATAGCATAAAATATGACTACAAGCAATTATTTTTGATACAGAAACGTTATTCTATCACATTAGCCAACATCATCTTATGCAGACGATAGCGTGAAGTCTTTCTGGCGAAACACGCTACGTTCTATCACTTACCAAACATCAATCAGGATTGAGATAATAAAGCCCAAGTGAGACTGGGTAGGTCATACTCTGCCTAGACCAATCAGTGACACCACATATAATGGCGTTCAAGTAGAACCCTGTGGTGAGCCGAAGAACGGATAGGCCGGCGCACAGACAAACGGATATAGAAGTGTCATGTATGCAGGGAAGTTGGAGAGATAATTGAAGCTCTTATCTAATAACCATTTTGTATGGAAAAATTTTGATGCGGCCCTAATTCTAGGAGTTAAAGAAATTTATATATATAAAGTATTAAATTTTGTGGACTATCAAAATCACTGTAACGTTTTTAATAGATCCTTGTATTATATATATGCAGACATTGGTTAAACAGTTATTTGTTTATGTTTATGTTTATTAAATTTTTTTAAAAATAAAATTTTTATAAAATATAAAATATTTTACTTACTTTTTTTCGTTATTAAGAGACTAGTAACACGTCTTAAAGCCTCTCGTGGTGATTTATTTAAAAATGATGGTGTCAAATTTGGAGGTAATGTTAAAGGCTTTCTTGAATGGCCAGTGCCAGACATGCCAGCAGCACTATCCCAAACACGTACCGATGATAAACGGTCAATATTTTCGGTAGATGCAGGTCGCATGGATCGTTGTTTTGGATACCAACCACGTGCAGGTACACCAGATAGTCTAAGCATTTCATTTGATGCCAAAGCATGATTCATGGAACGTTGGCGACACATGCCAGTGCCATAATTACTGCCAGCTATATATAAAAAATGTTTAAATAAAATTATCAGCCATAAATATATATATATATATATATATGTATATATATAAATAAAACTTTTTATACATATTGTATATGCTTACCAGAAATGCCAACAATTGAATTGCCCATATTTATACTGTGAGATGTACTTGATCTGGGCGCAGTGCGAGAACCACTAACTGTATTCTCATTTAAGCGTCTATATGGAGTTCGTGGTATGTCACAGCTAATAAAAATTAGAATATATCAATTAAATGAATAAACAATTTATATATTAAAATAAAATGAATTAAAATATATTAAAATATAATATATTAAATATATCAAAAGTATTAAAATATACACAACTTACCCTCTAGCAAATATTGGAGTTTCTGGAAGACTACAAGATGTTTGCAATCGATGTTCTTCGCGTGGAGATTGTTTTAAACTTCGTTTAGTACCATAAGAAACGTAGCGTTTAGTTGAATAGCCACCGGCTTCACAAGTAGGCATTTGTGAACCAGTTGGTGTAGTGATTCCACTACCATAGCCTAAAATCTTTGGTGATTTTTTTCTATAATTTGAATCTATTGACCATGATTTTATTGTATTAACAGAATGTCCGCGATGTGGTGGTACAGCAGGCGGTATATTTTCGAATGTTGGGGGAGATAATGGCAAATCATCCTTTAAACGTCGTAATGAACTTTTATTGTCTTTTGTACGTATTTCTTCACCAGGTGATTGGTTATGTATTTCAGCAGCCGTTGTAGTTGTTTTTGCATAAGGTGTAGGTAGACCATCAGTGGGTATATCTGTCGGAGATGGTGGCAGAGGGGGTAAAGCATCGTAATCCTAATAATTAAAACGTTAAATTATAATATGTTGGTTAAATTTAGTTTAAATATTATGTTTATAATACATACATATATTAATATACTTTATATAAAATATGAACTAAAGTGTGAGAAAGTAAAAATGTTCAGTATGTTACTTAAAATCTATGTTTTTCAAAATTTGACCAGATATATCTTTCAAATATATAATTATAAATATGTTCAGGTTATATATTAGTATATAAAAATTAAGTATATAAAAGTATATAAAAATTATAATTAGAAGGTAAAAATGTTCAGTGTGTTACTTAAATTCTATGTTTTCAAGATCTGAGCAGATATTTATTCCAAATGTATAATTATAAATATGTTCAGGCTATATATTAAGTATATAAAAATTAAGTATATAAAAGTATATAAAAATTATTATTAATCGACTTTTGGCGATAATCTAAGTAGTTATCTGGTCAACTGTAAAATATCGCGAATTGTTATATTTGCCTGTTCTTAAAAATTCTATGTTTTCAAGATCTAGCCAGACATTTATTTCAAATATATAATTATAAATATGTTCAGGCTATATATTAAGTATATAAGTATATAAAAATAATTATTAATCGACTTTAGGCGATAATCAAAGTAGTTATCTGGTCAACTTTAAAACATCGCGAATTGATATATTTGCCTATTCTTAAAAATTCTATATTTTCAAGATCTAGCCAGACATTTATTTCAAATATATATTTTTTTAAATATATAAAAATTGTATTGTACGGTATAAATATTGTTAAATATAATTTAGATCATTATTAATGCAGTTCTGATCGTACTGGATTTGTTTTTCTTCTTTTTATCAAAAATAAGATTCAATAGTTCAATACGTACAAATAAATCAGGATTGGATGAAGGTGGTGAAGGTGGCAAAGGACCAAATGCATTTTGTGAAAGTAACATCTCTTTGGCGCTTTCAGATTTGTGTACACCGGGCCGAAATTCTAAAGTACGTTTTGGTTGCACCACATCACCAACGCGTACCACAGCGATTTCTCCACGTAAAAGTGCACTTATGTTATTTTCTATTTGTTTAAGTGGTGCACAACTATAACTAAAATCGCTATACTGTTCCTCATCTTCTTCCAGTGTTGGTGCCAAATCTGTATGTGGAGTTGTGCTTGTGGTATGTATGTCTGTAATAGATGAAATAGATAATAGATTTTCGAAGTATTACGAATTTTCGATTATTTTATAGTCATGAAATATTTTTAAGTAGCAATAAATTCAGATATGCTCTATATTCATTTTAATGTAGTCTTATATAAACAATATAGTATTTTATAATAAGTTATAATATAAGAAAATATAAAATTTTATTTAAATGCAAATTTCTAACCTTTAAATTCCTCTTTGTTTATGGCACTATTGTTATTAGTATTTATAGCATTATTGCTGTTTTTATAAGCAAAACTATTGACTATATCAAAATTATCGATTCTACTGCTTGAGTCGTCATGAGAACTTTCTTCTTCTGTACTAAGTAAAACATCTGCATCCCTTGACATTTCTTTAGTTAACAATTTCGTAAATCCTACATAATAAAAATAATATAATCAGTATCTTATACAAATAAATATTAGCATTGAATAATAAAACATTAAAAAACACATTTATAAAATAGTTTTTTATAATAATGATATATATATATATACAATAAATTCTTATTACCATCTGGCGGCGTTGCAGTACTACTTATAAGTGGACTAACACGAGTATCCTTTTGGAAAGCATTTTGATGATGAGGCTCAATATTCAAGGATAGTCTTTCCCTATTAATAAATAATAATATTTATAATAACATATAACATAAAATTATATAAAATGATATTCACCTAGGTGATTTTAATGGTGCAGACATTTGTTTAATTGGATCAGGTTCGTCGTATACTTCATTAATTGAGGACTCATCATTATCTTCACTTCTAGTTGAACTTTCACTTTCTGAATATTGCTGAGTCGATTTAAATATATCAACAGCTTTTGGAGGAGACTTTTTAGTCGCACGTCGTATAATAAATGTGCCTTTGCCCAACATATTTGAATGTCGATACATGCAGTTCAATTTCTCTGTGGAAGAATCATCTTCAAAATCATCTAAATATAAAGATGGACCTAAATTATTTGTTAGCGTTTTGCCATGTTCTAACTTTGTTGCGGTTGGTAACTGATCGACATATGGCTGTTCGACGATATGTCTATGTGAAGCAGAGTGGCTTTTTGGAAATTTCGCCTACAAATTAAAATAAATACAAATACAATTATTATTTATTAAATTTATACATTAAATTTTTTCTGGACTTTAGAAATAATATATGATTTATGTAATTATTATTATTTTTTCACTTACACTCTCTCTGGCATGTTTCTTATGTGGATGCAACTTTGATTTTATTTTGCTGTCTTTAAAAGATATTTCCCATGCGATGCTCATTTGTTTACTAGGAGTTTGTTGATTTGAAACCGATAATGGTGATAAGGATTGATCATCTAATGAATCTTCGGAGTAATCATCTTCATCTGCACAATTATATTTCTTTTTGTCATTTTTACTTTTGACTTTTACTTCTTTTATCAGTTTTCCATTTGTTTTATTATCAGAATACGATGTACTATTTGAACTGGATGATGAAGTGGAAGATATTGACGAAACTGGATTCAGTATATGGCAGACTTCTTTATGTTTTTGCACAGACGATATTAAACGCTGTGGTCTATTGGCACGATTACCATCTGTAGGCGGTGAATAGCGACCAGGATATATTGTTACTGGATGCTCATTTAAAATGGGTTCTAAAAAATAAAATGAGTATTAAATATTAATTAAAATTTTATAATAGTATAAATTTTTGATTAACATTGAATAGAAAAAGTGAATTCTATAGCTTATAAATGAAATCTGCATTTCCATTTTTTGGAAAAAAATTAATATAAACTTAAAGAGATAGATAAAGAACGTAACTATATATGTTAAATTTGTTTAAATTTGAAAAGAAAAATATGGCAAAAGTTTTATATATATTTTTGGGAAATATTGATAAAAATGTTAAAAACGGAACTATAATATAATACTATACAGAACTGGGTTTGACCTCCAATAATTTACAATAATTGAACCATTGTTGTAGTTTGTGATAACATATTTAATAAACCATTTGTGAACTAAATAAATGGTTCAGACCACCAGTGGGCACAAAAATCTATTAAACGCGCTGAACAACAATATCCTAAACAAAAGGGAATCATCTTAAAACGAAAAATAATCATAACATACATTATTGTTGTTGTTGTAAAGAATCACAAGACGAATACATGAGTGGGACACATGAGAATGTGGATGAGTATTAGTTGTTGGAGAGAAAATGGGATTATATAGGAGTAAGAATGCATTGGTGGATGAAAGTCCCACTTTCAGGGCAATTTTGTCAAAGATGGTAAGATCTTTGCAACATCGACCGTAAGACCATTTGTAGGACTTTATCTATTCTAGCATAAAAGTCTTTCTAAAAAAAGTTGAATCATTTGCAATTCATGGTAGAAAGCTATTTTGTTCTGTTCCATGTTCTTTCGTGGTAAAATGAAATACAGTTATTAATCAGGGACCGTAACAGTTATCATTAAAAAATAAAAATCAGCTTATAACTGTTATCATTCGCATTTTAAAATAAAACTCAAAAAAAAAATTAAATTTGCTTTATATTATATTCATCAAAAATAACTCTTACATTCTACTTTTTAAATTAAAACGCACAAATAATTGTTATTTTTGCCTTATATATATAAAAATCAAGAATAACTCTTATTTTTGAAAACAAAATATAACTCACACTGGCCTGTGAATATATAGAAATATTTAATTGATTTATATTTTAATACAATAATAGCTACTGGATCTAACGTTTTGGTAAGAGAAATATCAAATCAACTTAAGATATATTTTTAAAGGAAAAGAACATTTTTTATTTGAGCTGAAACACATATTGCATCAAATGCAGTAAAGAAACAAACCACACCAAATTTATAAACTTGTCAAATCGTCAAATGAAGATTGAAACATTTGTTTCCTTAACAGAGATGAGAATAACCAATTAGAAATTCTTAAAAACTTTTTATTGGGTCATCATATGCTTAGTCTCTTACTAAAGGAAAAATAAGGACACTAAAGAACATTATAGGGATTTTTAAATTGATTTGATATATACAAAAACTCTTCTACTTCTACAGACCAATATCTAAATACGTTGAAATCGTTATTTACATCGTAAATAATGTATATCACTACAGATCGATGATCATTGAAGTTTAAAATACGAATTATTAGTGAATATTATGAATTATAATTTAATAATATACATACCAGGTAGCTTAGCAAAGCCACCACGTAGTACGGCATTGTGCACTGCACTAATGTCGATACCAAGTTTATTTCGTTCTCCATTGCAATTATCACGTATTTTACTATCCACAGATGATGAACGAGCGCCACAGCAAGGAAGACTTGAATAGTTTGTAGAAACAGTTGGTTTAACCTTAGGCTATATAACATAAATAAATAAAATTATATATAAGTATATATATAAATTATGTAAATTACGTGCTTACCAAAGTAGTTTGAAATATATTTTGATCCGGTAAAGAATCTGTAGATTTGCTAATATTTTTTTTAGGGCACTCAATACCATTACTGGAAATATTCTTCTTATGTACCTCTAAGGGTGAGCTATTGATTTCAGTTTGTGGCAATTCTTCGCAGGACTTCTTACGTTCACTACAAATGAATATTGGGCTTTATTTATTATTTAAATTATTGCTTACATTATTTTTATAAATAATAAAAACTACTTTAATTGTTTAAATTTTTTATAATTAAATTTATATTGAATGACATTTACTTACTTTTTGCGACTAAGGCTCATATAACCGTCATCTTCTGATTGATTTTCTCCATTGCTTATAACTGGTTTAGCTGATTCTTCGAATTCAGATATGATGTCATCTAAAACTTTGATAGGTTCAGGTATCTCATCAGCAGGAAATGAGTTTAGTGATTTATCTGGTTTATTTCTGGAATGGTTTATTTTCGTTATATTTAGATTACACATAAAACAGAACTTCATTTTGTCAAAAATTTTTTTTTTAAGCGTTAAATGAAGATTCCAATTTCAAACAAAAAAAAAAAATTAGAGGATGAAAACAAAAAAAGATACTTTACTGCATTTACTCAAATGCTTTGTACAAACAAAGATTCAGTTAGCAAAAATCAAAAGTTTAGGCAAAAGGTAATTTGAAGTAGAGAAATAAATGAAGACATACTGCATTAATTTTATATAAAGATATTAATTTCGAATATAACTCTGTGAAAAATAAATTTCTTATAACAAATTATATAAGATAATGAAAAAGAAATAGCATTTGTTAGAACAAAAATTTAAATATTGTAACTCTACAAATGAAATAACACATATGATGCACTTCATTTAGAGCAGTGTGAACATTTAGCAAATATCTTGATTTAACTCTTGATGAAGATATTTTTTCATGCACATCGCTCTGTTATTGAAAAATCCGAAAAAATTTGGAATTGGTAGAGCAAGACTAAAGCGCCAGCTGTCAAGAGATAGCAAAAGCATTAAACATGAATCACACGACAGAGTGTAATCACTTAAAAAGTACATGCTACATAAAGAAGCTAGATGTGTGGGTTCCACATGAATTAAGGTAAATATATTTGATTGATCGAATTGCCATCAGTGAAACATTGCTGAAATGCAACGAAATGGGATCATTTGGTGGGTGTTGAATAATCGATTAAATACAGGAATATCTAACGTAAGCGATCATGGCCAAAGGTCGATGACCAAACAAAATGATTTTAAACCCTAGATTGATGAAAAACACGCTTCTGTTGAGTGTTTAATGGGATTGAAAAGGAATTGTTTATTGTGAGCTGATACAGCCTGATGAAACGGTTAACTCGATCCTCTACTATTTACAACTCGACCGCTTGAACGAAGTACTGAAGGAAAACCGCCCAGTATTGAGGTACTTGGTTGGAAAGTTTTAATGTATCCACCGTATAGTATGGACCTTACACCGTCTGACTATTGTTTGTTTCGGTGTCTGCAAAATTTTCTTAACGGTAAAAAATTGGCCAGCCGAACATCCGCTGAAAATCGCCTGGCCAAGTTTTTCACCGATCAATAACAGAACTTTTAAACCAAATGAATTATGCAGCTACCCGAAAAATGGTAACAGGTCATACAGGATCATACACTTAATCAATATTAGTTTTCAATAAAGTAAATTTTTATTCAAAAAATGTATAAAAAACCGTCGGTACATTTTAAAAGTTATTCTTTTAAAAATCAAAAAGGATTCAGGTAAAGAATGGATTTTCTTGCGATTTTTTAAATGTCGGGGTTAAATAATGCAAATGATAGTAATACACCAAGAAACTTTAATTTACATGTCATATTTTTATTAAAAATTACGTGAGGAAATGAAAGGATAATCTATTAATTACATTAGGGGTCTTGTCTAGATGTTCTATAATTATTTTAAAATTTTGAGTGCAAATCACTGATACTGCTTAATTATATATCAAACTTTGTTACTGGTACTAATGCCAGTAAGTAAGCACAAGATTAATTACAGGGATAAGATTAATGACAAAATAAGCTGAAGTAGGGGAACAGTGTATTATTCCAATCGGTACAAGCGACGAAAGAATATCGAGATTGATAAATAACCCCTACTTCAGTATGGACCTTTTAAAGTGGTTAAATTCGTCCACTATGACACAGGCTAATTTCAATTAAAATCTACTCATCCCTATATCCTTTATTTATTTCATGCAAACCTTCTTTTCACTCTACCCTTACCCAACCATATCTGAACCCGTATTTACGTTGCTGTATTAATGGACTTAATTCATATAACTGTGATAAATAACTATCCAGTAAATAAGTTTTATACATCAAACTCCAAAATAAATAGGAACCTACCACAATGTACAAAGAATTTGTAATAATGACATAGCATTGAATGTGATATCACTTAATCTGTATAAGATGCACATAACTAATCTAATATATACAATTTATTTAAATAAGAACTTTAATTAAATTGTTTCTTAAATCTTTAAAAAACATTTAAATGCAAAGTTAAATACAGAAAATAAAATACCCTGTTGGGCAAAAACTCAATGTTTTTTACAAAATATGATACCGGATTTGGATTCTTTCTGTTCCATTTAGAAGAAGTTGGAAATGTAATAATTTTGGAAAGCCAAATCGAGTTTACCAGTTGAATTTTTAGAAATATCTCTTGGCTTTGAATAAATCGTTGTGAAAAGTTCATTAACAAATTCAGTTGCTGTATTATATTAAATCGAATTCATCAAGGATTTCATCTACCTTGGCACCGTCGTAACAAACAACAATGATGTCAGCCTGGGGATCAGACGAAGAATCATAATTGCCAATAGGTGCCAGTATCGGTTTAATAAGCAATTGGGATGTAAAACTCTCGCTCGACAAACAAAACTTAGGCTTTATAAGTCGCTTATTCTACGCTCATCCTGCGTTTCTGTATGACGTAAGAGCAAGAACCTTATCACAGAATAACAAAGCAGCACTGGGAGTTTCTGAGAGAAAAGTTTTAAGTGAGATTTTTATCTTTAGTCTTCTACGAATTTGTCGTATCGTATCCCAATGAAACATGAGCTGTACGGGCTTTATCGACATTGATATTGTTTAATGACTTAACATTCAGTGAATTCGTTGGCTTTGTGATGATGTGAAAATGGATCAAAATGCTTCAGCGAAAAAGGTATTTGTAGTAGTAGTTGAAAAAAGAAAACGTAGAGTTAGATCATGTCTCTGTGGGCTGTAGAAGTTGAGAAAGCATTAATCACACTTGATGTACGAGTCTAGAGAACGCGTGCACGCATCATAAATGCCTGGAAAGAATGCTGCGTCAAGCCGAAATTCCGTAATTGGTTGTTATAATTAATAATTTGTAGTTTTTTAATAATTTCTACAGTTTTTGTAGAAATTATTTATTGCATATCTTATTGTTTCAGTGCTATTCAGAAACCTTTCTGGTAAGAAAAATATTCTAGCATGAAAATAGTTTCCGGTAGGAAAAATGCTTTTAGCAAGAAAATAGTTTCTAGGAGGAAAATAGTTTTTAGTAAGAAAATAGCTATTTTCTAACAGGAAAATAATTATTAAGGCTCAGTTAGTCGGTACATACCGTAAGAACTTAAGCGAACTTAAGCCAAAGCGAAATACACAATCAACCATACCTATGTATTTTGCTCTGACTTGTTGTTGTTATTGTAACACGCAGGAACCTGTGTGTAAGTAGATAACATGAAAAGATATACAAGACAATAACATGCGTAGGGAAATGAGTGAGTAGTTGTTGAGAGAGATGGAGGGGGAAGGAGATGGGGAGAATTGGGTGGGTGGGATCGCGTTGACTTAAGTTCTTACGGTACGTACCAACTAATTAAGCCTTTAGTAAAAGAAAAAATTAAATTTGTAACAGAAACATAGTTTTTAGTAAATTCGATTAGATTATACCTGCAATCCCTAGTGGATCCACTTAGGCGTATTGGCTCATTGTGTTACCGCATATATAGGAAAAACTCTGGGTTTAAAACCGCCTACAACCTTTAACGAAGCATAAGATGCTATTTAGTGTCAAGTCCTGTAATTGGTTCAGGTCCTCATGAATGGGGGCTCCTAAAATATTAAGTCAAAAACATAGTAGATGAGAGGCACTCTCATCGTCTTCTCCACACCTTATCTGACTTCTCAAATGACAGATTTGATTGAAAAGGTGACCTAATCTTCTAGCATGGTTCGCTAGTTTACAGTAACCTGTAAGTAAACCTAGCAGAAGACCGATATCTCTACGGAGTACCTCAATGAGAATTTTGGATTTCTTTTTATCGGAACGTAGTTTCAATAAGAAAATAGTAAGAAAAATGTTTAAACAAATTATAACTAACTTTAAAAATCAAAGGTGAACTTTTACTTTTGACAGAGCATTCCGGTAATCTATCGTACATAACTAATCTTAAAAATATTCTCATACTCGGATTAGTCTTTCTCTTAGTGAAATAATTCTAGATGTTATTGCCAATTTCACGACAGTTCTCTGCGAAATTAATATGAATATATCCGTTTAGGATTTTAAGGAAATACTTTCTCACTAAAATACACGGTATAGCCACCCCTAATTCTTTGTAGGTAATTAATTAATATAAGTTAATTTTTTAATTCTCATATGAATTTGTCACTTGTCACGCAATGAATAATTAGCGTAAACCACGAATTTAAGTGCTACCGGCTTAAAAAAATAAATAAACATACAAACAAAAAACAATAAAAACAAAAAGCTCGTCGCGTACTAAGTCAAGTTGGGAGTCTTTTTATTAAAACAACCGGCAAAAATAAATGTTTACATACATTTCCATGCTGACATAGTCGGTGTTCGTCTCCTTGACGTCTTCGGCACTGCACGCTGACTGAATAGAAAATTTGTTCATTGTTGTTGTTGTTGCAGGTTCGGTGTCGTCACTGCAATGCACTGTTGCCGTTTCGTTTGTTGCAATTTCATTGGGTTTTGTTGTTGTTTTCAAATCGCTTTCATTAATGAGCAATTCACCATTAGCACAGGATTCCGGTAAAGCAGCCATTATAATTTTTTGTTATAATTTATACAAGTTTTTAAAGTTATGCTGGTTTCACTTAATGTTACTGTAAAAAAAACAACGAAAAAAATAAAATAAAAACAATAAAAATATCGATTTTATTGATTTTGTACAAAAATAGTAAAACAAAAAAATCAATAATGAGATCAATAATGAAAATTATCGAAAAGACCACCACAACAACAAAAACAACAATAACCGTTTCAGCATACTCACCGCTATTAAAATTTTGCTTCTTTGTAGTAATAAAAATATTTGTATACTTTTTTAATTGAAAATTGCAGCACAAATAAAAACATGCAAATTTTTCGCTTCAATAATAAAATCCATAAAAAAATTTATTTTTGTCTCCATCAGCAAATCTGTGTTTAGCCTCCTACTGCTGCTGCCGCTGCTGCTGCTACTGTCGTATCAGTGCAAAGACGTATTTCTCATTTCCTTTTCACTTTTCCTTAAAATTTTTTCTTATTGGAAGATTTTTGTCCAATTACAACTATATTTTTTATTCCATTAGCCAACAAAGAAATTTTGCATATTCCGAAACATTTATTGGCGGTTCTTTTATTTTTATATAATTTTTTTTTTAATTAAATTATTATTGAAAACGTCATTTTGTTACAAATATAAAAATAATTCTAAAAATATTATAGCGCAAATTCGCTTTACTCTTCTCCACATAAATTTCCTGCATTGACTGAATTGACATTAACTGCAAGAGTCTGGAATCGATTTTTTCATATTTTTCGTCGGCATAGGAGGTTTTCGGAGGATACACTGTTTATGCACAATACTGTGTTCATATATATAAGAATATATATACAAACAAACAACGAAGTCGATGTCGATGTCGTTGTACACACAAACATATGGTCAAATGTTTAAATGTGTGCATGCATGTAACTGCAGAAACAACAATTGTTTTCTGAATGAATTTATTTTTATTTGTTTGATCTTTGGCACAATAAATGAATTATAAAATTAGTGTAAGCAAATTTATTTGTTTATTTAATAAACAAAAGTCTCCTTCAACACATCTACGTTTTTGTAGTTTTGAATATACAAATAATAAATTTTATTTAATTATAAATTAGCAAACACTTCGCGAACATCTTGTTTGCTACAACCGTGATATTCCCACTACGGATATTGATTGTCTGGTGCTAAGCAGAGAGTAATAAACTGGATATAACGACAGAATATGAAATTCTGCGGCCGCTGTACACTAATTTTATGTAAAATACAAAAATTTTAAGAAATTATAGTACTCAGACCAACCACGATAACTTAGTACTCGGCAACATTTTACGTAGAATACGCTTTAATGCGACAGTTTTATAAAAACAAATTATATATACACATTGTGTGGCAGAAGCACTTAGCGCGCATATATTCAAAGCAAAGAATACCTTAAAGATATTCTTTGCTTACAACTCAAGCTTAGTAATACGAAATTCATAGCAGTGTTGCAATTTCTACTTCGTGTCAAAAATTATGTAGGAAGCTTAACCCATTTAGGCCGTGTGCGAGTTCGAATAAATTGATGGTAAATTGAGGGAAATAGTAAATTATGTTGGTATGGCAGCTAATGTTGGTATTTGCCAGAATTTTAAGTAGGGTAAATTAGATAAAAATTAGGTAAATCAGGTATTACCATTGTGAACATTTTATAAGTTGTTTAATAAATATATAAATAAATTTGAAAACTTTTAACCAAAAATAATAAATAAGTGCAATAAATCAATAAATATTTACATAAATGCAGTGCAAAAAGTCTCTATGAAATTTCAATTTACTTTACCTCAATTTACTCGAACTCGCGTACGGCCTAAGTACCAGACAATTTCAGACTTGAAATTTTACGGTGTAATTTCCATAGTACTTAGTAAAATAAAACAAGTTTAAGTAAATGAGAAGAGTTTAATATTTATTTGAAAGATTACTCTCACTTTATATTTACCTAAAAAGATAAAGTATTATTTGATTATTAAAAAATATTCAAAGCTAGTTGTGTGGTACACCACACGGTGGTCCGAAATGGGTCAATTTATGGGTCATCAAAAGAAATATTTTAAGAACTGCAGACATATGAAAATTAAAAAAATTATTACAGCTAATAATATATATAATATATATATATATATATATATATATATATTAATATATAATATATATAATATATATATATATATATATATATGTACATATATATATCTTTACAACCCACAATGGGTTTTTATAAACATGAGCTTTTTGTGATTATTTTTATATATTTAATAGTATAAAATAGTATTAAAATTTAACAATTAAAAATAAAAATATAATTAAAAATATAATTCAATTATTCTACAGCTGGTTTATGATTTCGTTCTATTATGAATGAAGTAAATTGTTTATTAAACTTTCACAGCCAATTAACAAAAACTTCAGAAAAATGTGCGCATAAAATTTAAAAACGGCTTTGGGTCAGTTGGTTAATGTTTGTTGACTCTGCATCAAATTTGGCAGGACACGAGTTCGATTCCTAGTATTTCCAGTCTCAAAAAATTATTTACGAATAATTAAATACAAGAACTATTTTCAAGACCCCTGAAAAGTAAACCTTTTTAAGTGATAATATTTATTGCCTTGACTATATATATTAGGAGTGTTCACGATCTCAAACAACGAACTTGGTAACTAAGTAAATTTTACTTTAAATGTATTTCGTTGCTGCCACTTTGCCTTGTTTCTATGTTACTCAACTACCGAGGTTTTTACTCGATATTCGTGGATAGAACTATTATAATGTTTAGTTTTAGATCCAGTTTCACACTCGTAACTTAGTCCCAATACTGACTCAAGTAATGCTTAAATGATCAATTTCGTTGTCTTAATTTATATTTAAGTCAGTTTTGAGACAAAGTTATGGCAGTGAAATAGACTCTAATAAAGCAAGCATTCTCTTTATAGCTAATATAATGCATATTGAGTATAAGAAGGACATGCTGCTGATTCCACACGTCTTGTTTGATGATTTGTGCAAAAAATTTTTTCTCACCTTAGTAGTAAACTATGATATGTATTTAATCAGTTCTCAAATATAAATTCATATATATTCTTTATTAAAATCTAAATAATATCAACTTAGTAAGTGACAAGCCATATTGCCAATGTTTACACAGAAATTACATAACATTGAATCAAATTTTATTCTAAAAACCTAAAATTAAGTCTAACAATTTTAAACTTTTCTAGAGATTCATATGAATTTTTAAGAGATTTCTTAAAATATTTTATAATACGCTATAAAATTTTATTTTTTAAATCCTAAGAAGAAAATTAATTAGTGATTTTATGGGTAACATTTAATAAGAAAAAAATTATTTTCATAACCACATAAATGTTTATCAAATTATTATTCGTTAATTTATTAGTTTCGTTTTACACAATTTTATAATACTTTTATATATATATATATATATATAAATAATTTATATATAATTTTATAATACAATTTCACTCCTTAAATTTTTTAATTAGAATCAAACTTTAAAAGATTTTTTATTTAATTTTTTTTATAAAAACAATATGTAAGGATGTTTATTTTATATATATGTTTATTTATATATTTTATAAATTTTCACTAATCTATAAATATGATTAATATTATATATAATATATGACATGCACTGGAAAAAATTAATATCTCCAAATAGTATTTTTTTTTTAATAAAAAACGATCATAAAATATGTTGTGTTAACTCTCCCAGTTCGAGACAAATAAAAAACAAAAAAAAATATCTAAAATAACACTTAAAAAAATGTAAAAAGTCTAAAACATATATAAAAAATATAAAAAAATATAAAAAAATATAAAAAATCTAAAAAAAAAAATAAAAAAATACGAAATATTTAAAAATACTGAAATTATATTTAAATAATTAAAATCAAAAAGTTTTGAGTAGAAATTTTTAAAAAACTATAAATATTTTTTGATCCTCATCACTGTCAGTTGAAAAAACATCATTTGATTACCTAATACTTTTTCTAATACTTTTCTTAATACTTTTCCATTTGGTGTCGACTTTCTTTCCCACATTTGTTCTAGAAGTTAAAGCTCTGTTTTCATTTATTGCATGTTTTACTTATCGTCTTCAGATATATCATCCTCATCAGTAAGTATTTCATGGTTATGATTTCTGTTTGGTGCTGTTTGGTGTTTGAAGAACTTTCTTTACTATCCACATTTTGCCTAAATTCTTCAAAGAAAAGTATTTCATCATTACTCAAATGCGACGAACCTTTTATAAAACTAGCGAAGCGTAGAGGATCCTTTAACTTAGCAATAACCTATGCAAAATAAAATTTTAATATTTATATAAAATTAACAAATATATATATTTAGGCCGTCTGCGAGATCGAGTATATTAAAATTATCTAGGGATTTTTTGCACTGCACTTATGTAAATATTTATTTATTTATTTATTGCACTTATTTATTATTTTTGGTTAAAGTTTTCAAATTTATTTATATATTTATTAAACATCTCATAAAATTTTCACAATGGTAATACCTAATTTACATAATTTTTATCTAATTTACCCTACTTAAAATTCTGGCAAATACCAACATTGGCTGCCATACCAACATAATTAACTATTTCCCTCAATTTACCATCAATTTACTCGAACTCGCACATGGCCTTATTCATTCAATTATTTACCTGCTATTGCAGAGATTTTGTGGACTACTGGCAAAAATGCGAGACTCTTCTAATGTTTTCGATTTTTCTTGAACTCCTTGTTCATAAAACTCCTCGCTACTAAGCAGACGAGTTTTGAGCGAAAAATAGCGTACATTAGCAGAAGTTTAGTATAACTACTATGATACAGGCACCTACAGATGCCTCCTTCAAATGACTCGAAAAGTATATTAAAACGAATGACACCAACTGCATAAGCAATCTCATAATATCTTTAGAACGCTGATTTTTTGGTGGACCCATATGGTAAGAAAAGAGGAATGCTATTACACCTGTTGTAATAATATACCAAAACACATAAATATGGTAAGTAACAACAATGACTTGCAAATTTTCCAAAATTTTTTGTAATATATAAACGCCAATACTCCAACCGCCAATTAGAATCAGAGTTCGTCTAAGTAAAAAACACTATTTTATTCACGTATGTAAACTTTTGATGCGTACATAAAAATAAAAATTAATTTACCTTTGAAAGAATTTACTCGATAACCAAATAATTATCATAAAAGATAAGCTTATCCCCAGTATGATGCCAGTAATATAATAAAATAAAGGATTTTCACTTAATTTTCTGGCGTACCAAAACATAAAAGCGCCGGAAAGCAATAGCAATACCCTTGAAATATCCACCCATTTTAGGACCAATCTCAAACGATAGGGTTTCCGGGATACAATACCTATACATTTCGGTTCAAAGGGCGATAAAGATAATTTTGTGCGTTTTTGCATAAATATGTTAAAGTTCCACAACGATAATTTATCTTTATAGTTCTGCATCACTTCTTCTGGCGTTGTTCCTTCATATTGTGTATAATCACCTCCTTCTATTTCCAAATGCAGTTCCAAGCTTTGGAAAAACTTTATTATATCCCTATACGTAGCATTATAGCAATAAGTATGCAGATCAGTTTCAAAAAATCTATTGCGCTGTAATCGTGGTTGGTAGTCAAATATCGAATTAGGTTTTAATATGGAGACTGTTGAAAACATGTTAAAATAATTTCAAATAATTTAATTATAATTATATTACCATTATTATTTACTATACTCGCTGCTGAACTGAATACGCCGGCAAACGTAAACAAATAGATTACCCATAATTGGTGCATAGCTAGTAATTTAAAACCAAATGATGCTGTATTAAAATAAATTTGTAAAAACTAAAAGTTTAAAAGTTACAGTCTTCCATTTATTTTTAAATATTTTTACAGAGTTGCCAACATTAAATTTTTGAAAATTTTTTTTTTAATGCAACTGTCATTATCATTGTTGCTTTCTGTAGAGAACAGAGGCATTATTTTTTAATGCGCGTGCAGAAAGAAAATACGCAAGAAAATTATAATAATTTCTAAACAAAACATATTTCCATCATCATATTTGGTATGAATCCAAAACACCATTTAAAATCACAATTTACTTACCATTTATTATATTGAATATTAAATTTCGAAGTTTCAAACCAGCGATGCACTTTGTTGGTTGCTTAATTATTACAAATAAATATTAACAAAAAAGAACAACAAATTTATAAAAATGATAATTTGTTTAAAATAAAAATATGTTTTGTTTTTATACAACAATTTTGATCGCAAGAAATGCTTGCTGGGATATGAATTTGAATGTAATGTTTTTGTATTCTATACTTATTGCTTATGAAAATCTGTTGCTTCGCAAATTCTCTATGATAGCTTTGCAATCCATAGGAAATTTATATATGAAGTGCAACAGAGCGACATCACAAAATCAAATATACTAAAAGTATTAACGCTCAGTTAGTCCGTACGTACCGTAATAACATAAGCGAACTTAAGTCAAAGTGAAATTCACAACCAACCATACCTGTGTATTTGATAGGAACAAAACAAACAAAAGCGGTGAATTTTGTTTATTTAGTTCTTATCAATTACACAGGTTTGGTTGGTAGCATTGTTCTTAAACCCTTTTTTTTTGTTTAAATGTGACAATTTGTTTTTTTGCTCGATTCATTTTTTTGTTGTTCATAAAACAAATTTTATATTTTTCATGCGATATTTGGTCTGTTCCACGAGGTATTAGTAGTAACTTTAGGTATACACAGGTGTGTTCCACTAGCAAATTTTCGAGTAAATGAGAGCATTTGAGAGAACATAACATCCGTGTCGAAATTTGAAAATGCTACCACGGTTGCCACTTGAAAATTTTTTCCTGTACCAAAATTGGTTTAAAAAGATACCATTTCTGTAAAAAAAGGTCCAAATTTTTTTTTGGACCTTTTCGTTTTTTCGTTCTGTGTTTTTCATAGTGTTACAAATTAACAAAATATAAAATAGTGCAAAGTTGGGTCGTCAAAAATGTACCATTTTTTGAACATGAGTACTAAATGAAAAAAAAAGTACCAATTTTGGTACTAAAGTACCATAAGTGGCAACCGTGAATGCTACACAGACTTTATTACTCGTACATTTTATTTCAAGTAAAATTTGTGTTGATGTGTGAATCAGCTGTTTTGGTTTGAAATTAAATTTGTGTATTTTGACTTTAAGAGCGGTGCAGACTATCATTTTTGAGTGTACTTGTAAATGGCTATGGCTTATTTACCATATATTATGGCGCATAAGTTGAATTAAAATAAAACAATTGCTGTTCAGTAAAAATAAATCTTTAATAATATATATTGACAATATGTAATCATTAAAATGAATTCGTTTTATTTACTTTCAATTTTTTCGTATAATTGTATTTAAGTTTTAATAATCACAATTTGTCTATGTGTTTCGGCCTTAACGTTGAATAACAAAGCGATTTTTGGCCAAATACTTTTGTTAAAAATAAAAATCAAACGAAATTAAATTAAATTTAATTTATTTTACATTAATTTTTATTTAGCTCAATATTTTGATTTAAAAACAAAAACAATCCAAAACAATTTTAAAAAATGATTTTTTGTTTAACTATTGTGAATAGTCAATATGGTTCAAGTACAGAATAGATAGAATCAAAACAACTTATTTTCAAAATTGTTATACGCAAAGCAGAAAGAATAAGAATGGAACACATTTTGCTACTGTGATATTAATAATATAATAGGAAAACGAATTTAAATTTGAATCTATACAAATTTTTAACTAAAAACAACTCTAACTATTGGAGTTGGCGAAACGGGTTTTAATATTTCTACAGCATTTAAGACTTTTATATTAAATTACACAATTAAAAGTCTGGCATTCATATTATATTTACACACTTCACTAACTATAATAAATGAGAATTTTAATTTTTTAAATCACCTTAAACTTATAGTTCTTATATATTGTATATATATTTATAAGTAACGATTTAATAAAAGTTCAACGTTTCGCTTTGTGCTCTCAACTACATCTAACTTAATAATAATTATATGTTACTCTCTACAACATTTATACATCTGATATTCCATTGTTAGGTCCCTCGACTTTGGCGTTATATGCTGACGATACGTGTATGTTATACTCAGACAAATGTGCTCTCAACATAACAAACACACTTCAAGAGCATATAAACCTCAATCTGAAGTATTTTCAGAAATGGAAAATAAAAATCAATAATGAAAAAACTAAGGTTCTGTTTATAACGCGTAAGAGGAGACAGAATCCGTCAAGAGTGAGAGTGGGTGATATGGCGATAAACTGGGAGGAGAGCGTTAAATATCTCGGCATCACGTTGGACAAACGATTCACATGGCTTAAACATGTTCAACTGAAAAGAATTAGCTGCGAATTCTTCATTACCTCCAACCGCTATTTAGAAATGAAAATCTCAATGCTAAGAACAGGAAACTGATATATAACCAAATAATTTGTCCGTCACTTCCATATGGTTGTGTAGCGTTTAGCAAAGTTTCAAACACTACTATTCGTCAGTTAGAAATTGCACAAAGCCAGGCTCTAAGAAGACTTTTCAAAGTTCCTTGGTACATTAGGACATCCTCAGGGACCTCAAGATTGATCCCATCAAAAAATACATAAAGGATAGAGGCCTGAAATTATTTGCGAAATCTGACAGACTTACTAACACCGCGTTATCCAATCTTAGAATGGTTACAGGCTCCTCGGGGAGATATGCTTATCTGAGGTCAATTATTGCTTAATCTAATGAAGTGATAAACAAAAATCCACTCAAGGCGCAAAGAGGGGTTTTGTAGAAACCTCGCAGTTATTAGAGAGTAAAAGTGCTCAGGTGCACTGACTCAACTCAACTAGCCTCAACATATATATATAGTTAGTTTTTAATTAGATTAATTTTAATAAATTATGTTAGTTTTTAAAGTGTATTTTATGATTATGCTAATATTAAGTGTAGACCTTATATCGATAACCAATATTTCATGGTCAAAGTAGAAGAGTACAATACGAAAACTTTCTTGATAAAAGCTGGAGAGCCACAAAGAAGTATGTTATACTAGGTGCAAGCGTTTACACGTTGTTCACAGCTAACTTACCACTTAATCCATCAACGTACACCGCAACCTTTGCTAATGACACACTGATCATGGCTAAAAGCAAAAACCCAACAGTCGCTACTAATCAGTTGTGAACAGATCTAGACAACATCCAAGTGTGGCTAAACAAATGGCGCATTAAAGCTTACGAAATAATAATATACTACCACAATCCGATTACGCGAAGTGCTTGGAAGTTCATCTTGATCAGCATTTCATTTGGAAACACCAAATATTTACGAAACGTTAGCAACTGGATCTGGGTTCAAAGCTATCACTGAACATTTCTAAAGCACTTCTATGTAAAGTTATTTTAAAATCAAATTGACTTACGGTATTTCGATTTGGGGAACAGTTGCAAAATCTTATATAGCGACACTACAGAGATTTGAATCAAAAATACTTCGTTTATGTACTGCTGCTTCATGGTATAGCCTAAATAGTACTTTACAGCGCGATCTCCACGTCCTATCAGTGTTTGAAACAGTACAAATAGTTAGGAAAAACTACCGAACAAGGCTATCAAATCACTCGAACTCACTAGCACATTAGCTGTTATCAGATATCAAGCAAATATATGTCGGATCTGCCAAATGGAACCCAAAATACGATTCACCAAACTCACAGATATTAAATATTTATAGCCAACTTCTTATACATTACTAGTTGTAATTTAACCTTTAGCGGTGTTTACTATTTCAGCTATAGTCCCACACATGTCTACATATCATTTTATTATATTTTATATCCTTAAGTAATACTGAATGCCCTTTTACAGATTGTATTTACAAAAAATAAATAAAAAAAAATTTAGAGCTGATCTCACTTCTATTTTACTTTAACATTATATTTCATTTTAAACTTATTTTCTTTTCACATTTGTAAGCCATTAAATCAACTTACTATAACCAAAAACATAGAAATATTTCTATGTTTTTGCTATAACTATGAGAAATTACATTCGGAACTACATATGTCTCGTAAACTAGTAATACTACCTTCAAAGAACCACCTTTAATAACAATAGACAATGATGTGGTTTTAAATCTTATATTTTTATATTAAACCAGATTGCTTCAACACTTTTATGATGGTGTCTATGTAATATTTATAGAATTTGTTGTTTATAGTAAATGAGAATTTTAATTTTGTAAACGATATTTTTATTATAATTTTTATAAATGTTTTTATATTAAGAATAAGAATTATATTTTTCTTTTAGTATTTTTATGGAAGAGGCGGGAATTGATGATGATGATATGCATTTTACAAAATTTCTATTGACTATATAATATATAATATAAATCAAATGTTGTTCAGAGAAATGATAGAATGCTTGGCCGAAATAAGTCTGAATAAAAATTGTGGTATTATTAATGCAGAAATATAACAAATTTAAGGAAATAAATTATTATCTTCTTACTTGTTAGTGGGTATTATGATATGTCTATTGGTAGACAATACACATTTGACTACTGAGTCTACAGATTATTAGGCAAATTTCGTATTATGAAACTTGATAGACAAACACTATTGTAAATGTTCTGCTCTATCATAGCACTATTTATATCAGTAAAAGGACTCTTCTGGTCGCAGTATCGACAGTTGAACGATTGCACGTCAAAACTAAAAACAAAACAAAAAAAATACAAAAACAATTACAAATAAATAAACTCCTTTGACAACAAACTTTATTCTCAATATATAATATATAACACTTGAAAGTCGATATATTAAGCGGCTAAGCAAGCAAATAAAAATATAAATGAATTATTATTAATTATTGAATAAACAAAAATAATATTTAATTTATATGTTAAATTGACTGTATAAAGCGGTTTAAAGGCACTTCTACTGCTCAAACGCAATAGACAAATTTATCTACTGCTGATAAAAAAATTTCTATTGGTTTGCAGGTCACAATATCAAAATTCGGTTTTGTCTATCAACGATAGAAACTTTTCTATTGTCTATCGGCAATAGATAATCCACAATAGGCACTACTGTTATGATGAGTTCCGGTACATGTCTTCACGAAGACAACCCAAAAGTTGA